GTCCTCTCTGCCAGTTGTTCAGTCACATGACTTGTTTTGTTGTGTAAACTACTGATATTTAAATCTCTTAATATCGATATCTCCAAAACTGACCGATATTTAATATCTTCAATATTTAGTGGAACAAAACTGACCGATATTTAATATCTTAAATATTTAATGGAACAAACTGACCGATATTTAATATCTTAAATATTTAGTGGAACAAAACTGACCAATATTTTAAATCTCTAAATGGAAAAAAAATGGCCGATATTTAATATCTTAAATATTTAGTGGAACAAAACTGACTGATATTTAATATCTTGAATATTTAGTGGAACAAAACTGACCGATATTTAATATCTTAAATATTTAATGGAACAAAACTGACCAATATTTAATATCTTAAATATTTAATGGAACAAAACTGACCGATATTAAATATCTTAAATATTTAGTGTAACAAAACTGACAGATATTTAATATTTTAATATTTAGTGGAACAAAACTGACCAATATTTAATATCTTAAATATTTAATGGAACAAAACTGACCAATATTTAATATCTTAAATATTTAATGGAACAAAAACTGACCGATATTTAATATCTTAAATATTTAGTGGAACAAAACTAACCGATATTTAATATCTTAAATATTTAGTGGAACAAAACTGACCGATATTTAATATCTTAAATATTTAGTGGAACAAAACTGACCGATATTTAATATCTTAAATATTTAGTGGAACAAAACTAACCGATATTTAATATCTTAAATATTTAGTGGAACAAAACTGACCGATATTTAATATCTTAAATATTTTAGTGGAACAAAAACTGACCGATATTTAATATCTTAAATATTTAGTGGAACAAAACTAACCGATATTTAATATCTTAAATATTTAGTGAAACAAAACTAACCGATATTTAATATCTTAAATATTTAGTGGAACAAAACTGACCGATATTTAATATCTTTAAATATTTAGTGGAACAAAACTGACCGATATTTAATATCTTAAATATTTAGTGGAACAAAACTAACCGATATTTAATATCTTAAATATTTAGTGGAACAAAACTAACCGATATTTAATATCTTAAATATTTAATGGAACAAAACTGACCGATATTTAATATCTTAAATATTTAATGGAATGAAACTGACCAATATTTTAAATCTCTAAATGGAAAAAAAACGACCGATATTTAATATCTTAAATATTTATGGAACAAAAACTGACCGATATTTAATATCTTGAATATTTAGTGGAACAAAACTGACCGATATTTAATATCTTAAATATTTAGTGGAACAAAACTAACCGATATTTAATATCTTAAATATTTAATGGAACAAAACTGACCGATATTTAATATCTTAAATATTTAATGGAATGAAACTGACCAATATTTAATATCTTAAATATTTAGTGTAAATAAATTGACAGATATTTAATATCTTAAATATTTAGTTTAACAAAACTGACCGATATTTAATATCTTAAATATTTAGTGGAACAAAACTAACCGATATTTAATATCTTAAATATTTAATGGAACAAAACTGACCGATATTTAATATCTTAAATATTTAATGGAATGAAACTGATCGATATTTAATATCTTAAATATTTAGTGGAACAAAACTGACCGATATTTAATATCTTAAATATTTAGTTTAACAAAACTGACCGATATTTAATATCTTAAATATTTAATGGAACAAAACTGACCGATATTTAATATCTTACATATTTAATGTAACAAAACTGACCGATATTTTAAATCTCTTAATGGAAAAAACGACCGATATTTAATATTAAGATATTTTTAAATATATTTTTACAAATATTTTTTTTTCTTGATCTTTCAGTGTGTCTCAGTCACTGCAGCACTGATATATGTGCGACATATGTGCTAGACAACACTAGAAATACAACAACAGGATCACTCATATCATCATTTTATGAAATCTTATCGCCCACTAAAACTTGCTCTATAATAAAGCATCAAGGCATTACAGACATAACAGTATGACTTTCTGTAAAGCTGCTTTAAAATGAAGTGTATTGTGCAAAGAGCTTTACAAATGCACTTGATTTCGACTCGTTGCAGTTTTCAAAGAGCTTCAAAATCGAGTGAGGCACGAGAAGAAGAACGGCGGTCCTCACATCCCTAAGATTCAGGAGAGGAAGAGCAACCGCTTCTCCATCCCGGATCTGCCCGGAGACATGGAGTTTCCCACGGACAGCAAGAGCCGCAAGAAGATGAAGGCCAACACGGTGTCCGGGGGACGCAACAAGATCCGCAAGATGCTGGAGAAGACCCGGTTCAGCATCCTCCCCCCGAAGCCCTTCAGGTAAACACACGCTTCTCTCCCTCTCGTTAGGCTCCGTTTCTTTTTGGTTTAAACACACGTCCATCCATCCATTAGTGTGTTGTCCTCTTGAGGGAACTGAAGGTGGTTATCTCTGCTGTCAGGACCCGAGGCAGGACGAGACACCCCTGTAATATAGTGTTGTTTTCTCACTGTGGTGAGAGAAAATGTGCTCCAGTGTCATGAAAGTGACACCATGTCCAAACCAGACGCGATAAGATTACATCCACAAGCACTTTGTCCATCCACAAAATCAATCACAGATATCGGATATTGTCCAGCACATCGGATCGGCCCACACCTCTATGCCATCTTACATCGCATGCGGTTTATTCACACACACACACACATGCTGGGAACGACTGATTGAGATATGAAGCCTATTCGGATGCATTTAAAATGCTGCCAAAACTCAAGATATGAGGGCATTTTGTCTTATATTTATATATGATATACAGTAGTTGGGCAATATCACACGAGCAAGTTGTTTTTTTCCCGAATATCTGAACTATTACAAATCTTATATTGATTTTATACAGCAGTTTAATTAGACACAATATTGCAAATGCTGCTTGTTTTTGCTCCGTTTCGCCAAACAAAGCCTCACCGTTTTATTCCTGAATGAATCAGCCGTTTGAATGAATCTGTTGGATGAATGATTCAATAATTGACCAGTTTCATATTTAGTGTATTATTTCATTCTTCATTCATATTCATATTACCTCTAAGCTGCACTAAACAGTCTCTGTTAATAGACTTAAATGCCACTTCAGATGCAGCTTCTATCTCTATGAGGTGTTTTTAATAAGACAAATCATGGGTAAATTCACAAGTCGACAGCATTGACCTTGTAACCAATCAGATCAACGTGTGATCTCTGAGCTGAGTGAGTGGAGGCGGGGCTCATTTGCATATTCATTGAACCACGCGTACTAATTGAGGCAAGGGTGTCGAGTTACGTTCCAGATATTTTAAGGCATGGGGATTTTTTTTTTTTTTTCAAGGAAATTTTGGTATTATGTAATACAATTATTGACTACAGGGGGACTTTAACATTTTGTGCAATAAATTCTATGTTGAATCAAAATATTTCCTTCTAAAGCTACTTTTTGTAATGCCTATTCTCATCTAACACAATAATGACTTTAAACCATCTTTTGGGGGCTAATTTCTCATACAAACTGTATGGCTAGTAATTAATCTGCTGATCATGTTATAATTAATTCGATTAAACATTTTAATCGCATGACAGCCCTAATTTTAACACATTAATAGTACAAAACATACTGAGTGACTGACAGTCTTTGTCATGAATACACTTCAGATTTTACTGTAAGTTATTTGCAAGATCTGAGGTAAATCATCCATGATAAAGTCACACGCAACGTTATTCAAACTAAACTTAAACATTTCCATCTGAGACCATCACTGTTTATATGTGTTCGTTCCGGCCATGATCGCGCATCTCTGTCACAGTGCAAACAATACAGACGTTATGTGTTTCATGCACAGTGTGTGTTTTATCTTATGAGGTAGGGGTGAATGTGAGTGCAGGAAGTGTGTGTGTGTGTGAGGGTCATCTCTGTGCTTTATGCTTGTTCTGCTTGACATCACGTGTCTTCTGTTTTTATGGCTGGTCACTTGCACAGGGGACTGTTTGGGTAAGAGACACCAGCTCAACACTCTCTCTCTCTCTCATAAAATCGTTTGCGTGTACATTCATCTTCACATAAACCATGCGATTGAGCTCATCTTTGCGCATACTAGCAACACATTTCACTGGCACTTCTTCTCTTTCCTGCGTGTTCATGAAGAGTCGCGTCACATCCTAACCAGGCACGACCTTTCCAACAGCCAATCAGAGCAGCTAGCAGCACTTTTCCTGTGGACTAAGGCTGGGATTGGCCAGGAAGCAATGTCGTGCCTTGTTAGGTGTTTTCTGTCATCGGTCAAGATGTTTTTCTTGTGTGAATGAACCGTGCCGTGTCATACTGTGCTGTGTGTGTGGAAGTCGTTCTTTTCAATTCCTGTTTCTGTGAAATCACAAGCTCTGTTTGTCACGTGACCTGAACTTGGACAAACACTAGCTGTGTCTCACATGCATGCAAAAATGAGAACAAGACCTTTCTTATTTTTTGTGTATGTCATTATAATAAAGTCATTATGACATGAAAAGTGAATGGACTTGGCATCACTTATTTTTCGGTCAATTTCAACGTTAAATTTCAACATAATTTTTACTTAGATATAGTATCTCATAATTATGACTTGGCATGTCATCTCAATATGACTTTTTATCAAATAATTTGGCCTATCTCATAATTTTGCATATCTCATAATAATGGCAGTATTTCATAATTTTGACTCTTATCTCATGATTGATTTAACCTCATTATTATGACACAGTAATTTTGCAGAATTTTGACTTCTCATAATTTTTTATCCCATAATTTCACCGTTTGCCAATTTCGACTATCTCATAATTCTGACTTAATATGTCATAATTACGTTTGCTCCACAAATATTTCTCTTAGTCTTTCATTCAAAATATTCACAAAAATCTAACCTTTCATTAAAATCAAATAGTTATTCTTATCAAAAAAAAAATTTTTGTATTTATTTTAGAAATAGCAAAAACTAATTTTCACTGTCATTTCCGCCCTATTTACCAAGAATGCGGATATTTTGAGTCTCGTTCATGGATTGTGTGAGTTAATATGATTGTGTGTGTGTGTGTTCACTCTGTGTTTGTGCTCGTGTCTGTTTAGAGCGCTTTCACACTGCAGCTCAGTCGCTTTGGATCATCGCCGCTCGCGTACTCCACATAATGCGTCTACAGCTCCACGGCAAAGTCAAAGTTTATTTAGAAAGCACTTGTTAAAAAACTTATCAAAGTGCTGTACACACATATCACTGATGCAAACAGTCAACAGCACAGAAGAAAACAACAAGACACAATACAAAAAAAGCAACTCACACAGTGTCAAATGACAGACTATTAAAATATGTTTTTAGCTAGATTTAAAAACAGCAAGTGTTTGAGCCTGTGTAATGTGGAGAGGATGCTCTTCAGCTTTACCCCTGGGATAGCGAACAGCGATAAGTGCTCTTAGGTTAGGCATACAGGATATTCAGGTGCCAAACCATTAAGAGATTTAAAAACAGGGTTATACAGCCATCTGTATGACTCGTCTTCAGCTCTCTTTCAGTCGCCGTTGCTTGTCGTGCCGAAACTCAAAACAGCCGCGAGGAATCTGAACACAGTGGAGCATCGAATCCCTCCTTCGCCAACGAGCGTTTCAGAGCAACACAGACATAGTGCAGAAGTAGAAATGCTCACGACGACGTAGAAATAGAGTCAACAATAATCCAGACGAGTTGAAATAAAAATAAGAACAAGTCTTTGAAAGACTTTAGAGGACAGGAAAGATTTAAATTTAAATCAGACTCTATAATAACACGTACGGTTTTTACACAGGGCTTCACAAGTGGATTCAAACCACCAAGGTCCATAAGTGTGTCCCGGCGTAAACAGCGCAACTTCTGTTTTATTTTCATTAAAACTAAGGAAATGTAGTGCTAGCCAGGCCTTAAAAGGAGTAGTTCACTTTAAAAAAAACTTTTGCTGATAATTTACTCACCCCCATGCATGTCATCCAAGATGTCCATGTCTTTCTTTCTTCAGTCAAAAAAAAATTAAGGTTTTTGATGAAAACATTCCAGGATTTTCTCCATATAATGGACTTCAATGGGGTCCAAACGGTTCAAGGTCCAAAAGACAGTTTCAGTGCAAACTGTTCAAATGTCTTTAAACGACACCAGACGATGAATAAGGGTCTTATCAAGCGAAACGATCACTCATTTAATAAATAAATAACAAAGTTTAAGTTTTATAAGCTCAAATGTTCACCTTACTCTGTAACGCGTGTTCGTGACTCTCCTTGTCGAACTCGTTCATCAAAATGAACGAATCTTTTTTCGTGTCATTTGGTTGATTCAACGAACGAAATGAACGAATTGACTCAGAAAAAGATTTGTTCATTTTGATGAACGAGTTCGAACAGGAGAGTCACGAACGCGTTATTCATCGTCTGGAATCGTTTAAAGCCCTTTGAACAGTTTGCACTGAAACTCTCATTTGGACCTTGAACCGTTTGGTCCCCATTGAAGTCCATTATATGGAGAAAAATCCTGGAATGTTTTCATCAAAAACCTTAATTTCTTTTCGACTGAAGAAAGAAAGACAAGAAAGACATCTTGGATGACATGGGGGCGAGTAAATTATCAGCAATTTTTTTTTAAAGTGAACTACTTTAATTTCCTATATTTTATTGTTGAGTATTTTTTTGTTTCAAAGCCAGATAAATGTGTGTATCGTCTGCATAACAATGAAAAGAAATACCAAATTTCCTAAAAATATGTCCTAAGGGAAGCAGATCCAGGGAGAACAAAATAGGCCCCAAAATAGAGCCCTGGGGCACCCCACGCATCAAAGAAGCCGTCGAGGAGACAAACTTCTTTCAGACGAATAAGATCTAAACCATGGTGATACCGTAACCCAGCTAAACATGATCTGGTCAAAGTGGAGGAATCATTTTAGGTCCTCAATCATTAATAGTTATTCTTTTAGCAAAATCACATTCGTTTCATCTCCTTCCAGTTCAGTCAAATCAAGTGTGAAAACGGCCTAAATGTCTGTGTGTGTGTGTGTGTGAGTGTGTGGAGCCGTCTGTAATCCCTCTTGCTCTGTGTGTGCAGTGACAGTGGCTTGTCCCAGTCTCAGGATGACAGTGTGGTGGGCACGAAGCAGTGCCGGCACAGCGTGGCCATCATGCCGATCCCGGGCAGCCTCTCGTCCAGCAGCCCGGACCTGCTCCAGCCCGCCAGCGCACTCGACTTCACCAACCCCGCAGGTAACACACACACACACACACACACACACACACACACACGCCATCAGACATCATGTGACGGGCCGAGTGGCAGAAGAATAGAAAATAACAATAATACAACAATAATACAGGTGAAACTCGAAACATTAGAATATGGTGCAAAAGTTGATTTATATCAGTTATTTAACTTAAAAACTGAAACTAATATATTATATAGACTCATTACATGCAAAGTGAGATATTTCAAGCCTTTATTTGTTATAATTGTGATGATTATGGATTACAGATATGAAAACCTTTTCACAATATTCTAATTTTGAATAAAAATTAGAAAGTGTCTTTCCGACAGCTTGCTAAAAGTATTATTCATTTGTATTTAACATTATTTAGAACTGTTTTGGAAATAGATTTTTAATAAGAGCTGATCTTTTATATTTTTTTAACCAAAATGTTTTGCCTCTAGTCAAAGTTTGTAGTTTTATGATTCTCCTCGTAGCTGGTTGGTTTGGTTTATGGGTTATAGCGCTTTTTGGAATTTTTATGGGAGAAATTAATGTAAAAAAACCAACGCCGCTGGAAAAGTGGGCAGGAACTAATGCAATAAGTGGGAATATGGATAATAAAAGAGCCGAATCACCGATTGGTAACATCATTACGGCACTGCAGCTGTTTTATATGACAGATTTAGTTGTGGTTTGATTATATTATTTAATCGTGAATGTGGCGAGCAGTTTTTGAGATTTCAGGATTTCCCCATTCAAGTTAACAGGGAAACTGCGAATACAACAATAAAACGAACGATTATCAATGATTATATCATTCCTCACAACTTATTAAACATCCAATGATCGTGGATATGGACATGCAGACAGAGATCGTGTTTCCTGACATTTATATTAGCCTGATTTCAACGAGGAAATATATAAAGCATTTGCCCGTGAACGCTTTATTTAAATACATACTGTATGTCTAAATCCGTGTGATCACTTATATCAACGTTATTTATATTGTTATAAAAAAAAACCTCTCAAACGTTTATTGCATTTAATATAGGGCTGTGCAAAAATTAATTGCGATTAATCGCATCCAAAATAAAAGTCTGTGTTTACATAATATATTTGTGTGTGCTGTATATAATTATTTTGTGTATATAAATACACACACATGCATGTATATATTTAAGAAAATGTGTTATTCATATCTAAAATATTTATAGATTATGTATTTATTTATGTATACAGAATTTAAGTGCAAATAATTCTTAAATATATACATGCAGGCATAGGTATTTATATATACAAAATAATTATATACAGCACACACAAATATATTATGTAAACACAGACTTTTATTTTGGATGTGATTAATCACAATTAATTTTTGCACAGCCCTAATTTAATATAAATTTTTAATTATTTTTTTCCGTTCACATTTATTTACAGTGTATGATATTGGTTTTATACACTTTTTTTTAAAGTGTCCTTCTTTTCGCAACAGAGAGTTCTGTATGTCTCCTGATCTGAAAGCGCTCTACATGTACAGTAGATAGATAGATATAGCTGGACTATATGAGGATGTTCAGCAGGATTCCAGTAAACGTCTCCTTTCTGAAAGCTCAGCTCTGGGTTGTGTAAAGCGAAAGCACACGACTGGTTTCAGGAGGATCTGGAAGTGCAGTGCGAGAGATGTTTATAACGAGGAGGACGTCTTTACATTAGTGGTGGTGTCTCCACCGGTGTCATGTGTCATCTCTCTCTCTCTCTCTCTCTCTCTCTCTCTCTGTGTGTTTCTGGGCTCCACCAGTGGCTGGTTTCTACTGTAAGTAACCTGTACTCGTCACACACTCTTCTCCTCTTCACTCGTTTCACTTCATTGCATGTGGTCAGTGTTGGGAGAAACTTGAGTTAAAGGGGTGGTTGATTATGATTTCACAGCTGTAGTTAGTGTGTGATGTTGCTGTTTGATCATGAGCAACATCTGCAAAGTTACGACACTCAAAGTTCAGAGCAAAGGGAGAGATTTTATTTTAAAGAAATCGTTTTTTAGGACTACAACAAACGGCTGATAGAACTACACGAGCTTCCTCCTGGGTTAGTGACATCACAAACCAAATAATTTACATAAATCCCGCCCCCAGAACACAGTTCATAGATTATCATGTGATCAATGACTAGAAGATAACTACAACTACATTCATCAACTACACGTTCAGAGATGTCTACATGTTGTCACTTCCTCTCGAGTCTCTCCATCGTTGTCTGACTCCGGTTTGAACATAAACATTGAAATGTTCAGTGCATGTGTGTGTGAGGTTAAAGGACACGAGCTCTTGAAGCTCCGCCCCCTGTGCCGAGAGCAGCAGATAATTTGCATTTAAAGGGACACGTACAAAAATGGCGCGTTTTTGCTCAACTTCAAAAAGTGACAATTTAAAAAAATATCTGTGGGGTATTTTAAGTTAAAACTTCACACACACACACACACACTCAGAGACTTTAAATCTTGTGAAAATGGCATTATACCACCCCTTTAAGTAATCTGATTACTTTTTTCAAGGAACTTGTAAAGTAACGCATTACTTTTCAATTTACAGCAAAATATCGGTGTTACTTTTCAAGTTACGTTGAGGTAACAGTTGAGGAAAACTGTAAGTGTGTGTGAACATGATGGTTATTGTAGTTCTAGACTAAATGCGAGTATGCATTGACTAATCTAACTTGCTCAGAAAAGATTCAGTATTTCTCAAAATCAGTGAAATGCAACATTTTAGATAAAGATGCAAACCTCCAATACTTAAATATGTTAAATAAAACTAATTAATTTATTTAATCTCACTTTATTGACCAATGTACTTGCTGCTAATCTTCGAATGATTCAATTAAACCATGAGCAAAAATAACTTTAGATTTTTTGTTTTTATTGGTCTTCTCCTGCATCCTATTCTTCTGTGATCCAGAAAGGCAGGTTTGTTTGAGCGGCGCCCTCTACTGGACACATGTGAATTAGCATTTCCTTCAGCCTTATTATTAAAGTTTTGGTCTGAAAGGGCCCAAAAATATAACTTTTTTTATTATAAAAAAAAGAAATAAGCCCAGCCCAGGTGAGAAACAGAAACACAAAAGTAAAGTAACTAAGTAACGCAGTTAGTTACTTTTTAAGTGAGTAACACAATATTGTAATGCATTACTTTTCTGAGTATCTTTCCCCAGCACTGCATGTGGTCGTGAGTTTGTGGCATGAAATGATTTACGCTCGACGTCAAAAAGCATGCGGAAACGCCGTCGTTAAGGTGGATTGTGTTCCACACCCATACTGTAGGACTTTCGTTCATCTTCGAAACACAAGTCAAGATGTTAATGAAATCTGAAAGAGATTTGAATCATCTGGATGATGGAATTGTGGGTAACACTTTACTTGAAGGGGTGTGCATAAGACTGACATGACACCTTCATAACAATGACAGGACACATGGAGGAGGGTTTATGCATGTTTATGACAACTGTCATTAAGTGTCATTCGCTCAATTATGACATTTTTAATGCAAATATGACATTTTTTGAGATGTCTTAGTTATGATAACTTGACATAAACCAATACATCATAACCTGTCAGTGTCTTGACCTCAACTCAACTCATCTGCTATGTCATGTTTATGATAGGTTGGGTTGTCTTAGTAATGTCAAGTTGTCATGACAAAGACACTGACAGGTTATGATGTATTTGTTTATGTCAAATTATCATAACAAAGACATCTCAAACAATGTCATATTTGCATTAAAAATGTCATAATTGAGTGAATGACTCTTAATAACACTTAATTGTCATAAATGTAAATAAAACCTCCTTTATATTCATGTCATGATTATGAAGGTGTCATGTCAGTCTTATGCACCCCCTTCAAGTAAAGTGTTACCGAATAGGGTTTGAGCCGTTGCCTTGTTTTACAAATCTGTGCCAAACATCTCACCATTGGCCTTTATTTCGAATGCTTTCACCGGTTGTGTGTTTAACCGCATCTCCTTCCTCTTGTGGGTTACAGACATTCCCGATCAGGTGATCCGCGTGTTCAAGGCGGACCAGCAGAGCTGCTATATCATCATCAGTAAAGACACCACAGCCAAAGACGTCGTCTCGCATGTGGTGAGCGAGTTCGGCCTCATCGCAGCTTCGGAGACGTACTCGCTGTGTGAGGTCTCTGTTAGTCCTGAAGGGGTCATTAAACAGCGCCGACTGCCGGACCAGCTCTCAAAACTAGCAGACCGCATACAACTCAACGGCAGGTAAGAGCAGAACCAACACCATTAAAGCGATAGTTCACACAAAAATAAAAAATTAGCCCATTATTTTCTCACCCTCAAGTCATCTGAGGTGTATATGATGTTCTTCTTACAGACGAATACAATTGGAGTGATATTAAAAAATGTCCTGGCTCTTCTGAGATTTATAATGGCAGTGAATGGTTGTTTCTGTTTTAAAGTCCATCAAAGTCCATCTCTCCATCATAAAAGTGCATCTGTCCATCATAAAAGTGCATCTCTCCATCATAAAAGTGAATCTATCCATCATAAAAGTGCATCTGTCCATCATAAAAGTGTATCTGTCCATCATAAAAGTGCATCTGTCCATTATAAAAGTTCATCTATCCATCATAAAAGCGCATCTATCCATCATAAAAGTGCATCTGTCCATCATAAAAGCGCATCTGTCTATCATAAAAGAGCATCTATCCATCATTAAACTGCATCTGTCCATCATAAAAGTGCATCTATCCATCATTAAACTGCATCTGTCCATCATAAAAGTGCATCTGTCCATCATAAAAGTGCATCTATCCATCATAAAAGTGCATCTGTCCATCCTAAAAGTGCATCTATCCATCATAAAAGTGCATCTGTCCATCATAAAAGTGCATCTATCCATCATTAAACTGCATCTGTCCATCATAAAAGTGCATCTATCCATCATAAAAGTGCATCTGTCCATCATAAAAGTGCATCTATCCATCATTAAACTGCATCTGTCCATCATAAAAGTGCATCTGTCCATCATAAAAGTGCATCTATCCATCATAAAAGTGCATCTGTCCATCCTAAAAGTGCATCTATCCATCATAAAAGTGCATCTATCCATCATAAAAGTGCATCTGTCCATCATAAAAGTGCATCTATCCATCATTAAACTGCATCTGTCCATCATAAAAGTGCATCTATCCATCATAAAAGTGCATCTGTCCATCATAAAAGTGCATCTATCCATCATTAAACTGCATCTCTCCATGATAAAAGTGCATCTGTACGTCATAAAAGTGCATCTATCCGTCATAAAAGTACATCTATCCATGATAAAAGTGCATCTGTCCATCATAAAAGTGCATCTTTCCATGATAAAAGTGTATCTATCCATTATAAAAGTGCATCTATCCATGATAAAAGTGCATCTATCCATCATAAAAGTGCATCTGTCCATCATAAAAGTGCATCTGTCCATGATAAAAGTGCATCTATCCATCATAAAAGTGTATCTATCCATGATAAAATTGTATCTATCCATGATCAAAGTGCGTCTATACGTCATAAAAGTGCATCTATCCATCATAAAAGTGCATCTGTCCATCATAAAAGTGCATCTGTCCATCATAAAAGTGCATCCATCCATCATAAAAGTGTATCTATCCATGATAAAATTGTATCTATCCATCATAAAAGTGCATCTATCCATGATAAAAGTGCATCTGTCCATCATAAAAGTGCATCTGTCCATCATAAAAGTGCATCTATCCATGATAAAAGTGCATCTATCCATCATAAAAGTGCATCTATCCATGATAAAAGTGCATCTGTCCATCATAAAAGTGCATCTATCCATCATTAAAGTGCATCTGTCCATCATAAAAGTGCATCTATCCACGATAAAAGTGCATCTGTCCATCATAAAAGTGCATCTGTCCATCATAAAAGTGCATCTATCCATCATAAAAGTGCATCTATCCATCATAAATGTGCATCTATCCATGATAAAAGTGCATCTGTCCATCATAAATGTGCATCTATCCATGATAAAAGTGCATCTGTCCATCATAAAAGTGCATCTATCCATCATAAAAGTGCATCTATCCATCATAAAAGTGCATCTATCCATGATAAAAGTGCATCTGTCCATCATAAAAGTGCATCTGTCCATCATAAAAGTGCATCTATCCATCATAAAAGTGCTCTGCAGGGTTAGCAAAGCTATGCATTGATAAATTAGTTCTACGCCTCTTAGAGTATTACCAAGTACATGAATTTACATGAGGGTATTGTTACACGCCTACTATCCAGTAATCCCGTGATTGGTGTGTTTGCTCAGGTACTACCTGAAGAACAACATGGAGACGGAGACGCTGTGCTCGGATGAAGACGCGCAGGACCTGCTGCGGGAGAGTCAGATCGGGCTGCTTCAGCTCAGCACCGTGGAGGTGGCGGCTCAGCTCTCCATGAGGGACTTCGGCCTGTTCAGGAACATCGAGTCCACCGAGTACGTGGACGACCTGTTCAAGCTGGACCCGGGCGGTGGCCAACATCTGAAGCAGTTCGAAGACATCATCAACCAGGAGACGTTCTGGGTGGCCACTGAGATCCTCCGCGAGGCCAACGCGCTCAAGCGCATGAAGACCATCAAGCACTTCATCAAGATCGCCCTGCACTGCCGCGAGTGCAAGAACTTCAACTCCATGTTTGCCATCATCAGGTGAGTCCGCCTTTCTCTCGGGCTGTCAGTTCTCCAGCGTACAGTTTCTCAATGATTATAAGAAATTAAAGGGTTAGTTCACCCAAAAATGAAAACGATGTCATTAATGACCCCTCATGTCGTTCACAGTTTAAGATATTTTAGATCCATTGAACGTGTGTGCGTCTGAACTGAACGCAGATCACACCAGAACCGGAAAACAACACAATGCTGAATAAAGTCGTAGTGTTTGTTATTTTTGGACCAAAATGTATTTTCGAGGCTTCAACACATTGTAACTAACCCACTGATGTCACATGACTACTTTGATGATGTCTTTATTTGCTTTCTGGACAAGGACAGTACACCGTACACACATGTTCAATGGAGGGACAGAAAGCTCTCGGACCAAATCTAAAATATCTTAAACTGTGGGTCGACATGAGCGAGAGTCATTAATGACATCATTTTCAATTTTGGGTGACCTAAACCTTTAAGGTCTCACTTTATATTAAAGGTGCAGTGTGTGTTTTAGTATACTTCCCTTACTATGTATGAATAGGATGCCTACTTTATAAATTGTATGAAAATTGTGGAAATAATGGTTCATATCACTGGCGGCGTCATCTATGTGCAGTAATGGAGTCTGGGTGTGCCCTAGTGGAAGCGTTCGGTACTGCACACACACACACACTTTTACTGAAAGCTCATCTTTTGAGATATCAACCTAAAATTTGAAACACAACTTGTTCAGAGTTTTGCCTTTGATTTTCTTGCATTTTTAGAGTCCAGAAGGTTTTGAAATAAATAATTTTTACATTTTCATAAAGTCAAACTTCTATAACTTTATTCTGTTTCACTTTCAACTTCTACAAAAATCTGCCAAATGTCTTCTCTAAAACAAGACCAATCTTCCATCTATATCCCAAGCATTCTTGAATGACAACCATTGTGCATGTTCATGTTTATTCACTGAAGAGGTTAAAGATCGTGCATATTCTGCACTCGGTGTGTGAGCTCATGCGCTGTGTTTTCTGTGCTCTTCAGTGGTCTTAATCTGGCGTCAGTGGCTCGGTTGCGGAGCACGTGGGAGAAACTACCCAGCAAGTACGAGAAGCTCTTCCGCGATCTGCAGGACATCTTCGACCCGTCACGAAACATGGCCAAATACCGCAACATCCTGAGCAGCCAGAGCGTGCAGCCTCCCATCATCCCCCTGTTCCCTGTGGTCAAGAAGGACCTCACTTTCCTGCACGAAGGTCAGTGGCTCAAGGTCACACACAAGCCTGTTAGCATTAGACACATGAGTCGGGTGTTTAAACTGGCCATCATCTCTTACCTTGCTCCGGTAACGACTCCAATGTTGATGGCCTGGTCAATTTGATTGAAAAATGTGTTTATACATCATCATATTATCATCAATACATCCAATTTGTTTCATTCTCGTACATTTTAACTCTTGTTTTGTTCATTACTTTTGAGCAAATAAATGTAATTGAGCAGATTTGTGCTGATTCTTTTCAATTTGAAGACTTTTATTTTGAAAATATGATATTATTTAAATAGCCTGTAAACATTAGTAGTGGGTTTCACGTGTCTGGGTCTTGAACTGTCCATCGTCTCTCGTCTTGCTCAGGGAACGACTCGAGTGTTGATGGTCTTGTCAATTTCGAAAAGTTGCGAATGATCGCCAAGGAGATCCGAAACGTTGTGCGCATGACATCAGCCAACATGGACCCGGCACTCATGTTCAGACAGAGGTGAACACACACACACACACACTAAACGTCCACTGGAAATCAAAACTTATTCCAGCACTTATTGTGAAAAATAAAACCCAAATGTATTCAGACTCCTTCAACATTTCTCACATTATTGGCTGTAGTTATGAAAATGGTGATAAACATGAGCAGAACTCAGTGGATATTTGACTGGTTTTGTCCGTCCTTCTGTTGGACTCTCACACATGAATTATGTTGAATATCTGTTAAATTGAACTACACAATTAGATAATACCAGTTTAGCTCAACCAGTGACCAAGCAATGCTTCATGTTGTTTAGTGTGTGTGTAAAAAGAGCATTAGCGATTACAGAAAACACACTTCAGCAAAACAGGCTGAAGAACCGACTTAGTGTTTACAAATCGAACTTGCAAAGACAAGTCAAATTGTGTTTAAATAAAAAATCTTTTATTAAAGTTAAAACAACGATGTCGGACGATTTTAAAGTTGGAGGAGAAAATGAGATTTTTTTACCCTATTCTACATGTATAAACCAGAACACGCGTGATCTTTTACCCTGATCATGTGATGTGTGTTGCATCACAGCTTGTGTAAGACCAGCATTAGTGGTTAAAAGTATATAAATGTTAATTTTTTTTATAAAATGAGTGATGGTGTGTCTAGATAAGACTCTAGATGAGGTATTTCTTTGAGGTTTAGAATCCAGTATTCCCGTAATTATTTTGTTTTTTAATAACTCTGTCTCGTCTTCTGTCCAATCACAGCTCTCCATCTATGTCACATGACTGTAAATGTGCAAAAACCGTTTCCATTGCAGTTTTGCAAAATATTCCTTTTTCGAACCGCCTGAAAAATCACCTCATGCAAAACTTTTTATATATTTTATATGGGGGTTTTTGCATTGTGAAATGTTTCCATTGTGCATAATTTCAATCTGCACAATTTTTATGGGTAAATGGAAACACGGTTAGTAATAGTTTAGTTTTATTTCGGCATGTATCTATTTAAAAACTATCGGTATGGGTTTTTGCCGAGAACCGATTATTCCAGCAATCGGTTACTGGTGCCGATTAAAAGTCTGATGAATGGTCGGAGCTCTATCAGTGTGGAAGCTTGTTTCTGCCACTGAATAAAAAAACAAAAAAATAATTGCGACTTTTTATCTCACAATTGCAAGATGTAAAGTCGCAATTCTGAGAAATAAAGTCGCAATTCTGAGAAAAAGTCGCAATTGGGAGATATAAAGTCGCAATTCTGAGAAAAAGTCGCAATTCTGAGAAAAAGTCGCATTTGTGAGATATAAAGTCGCAATTCTGAGAAAAAGTCGCAATTGCAAGAAATAAAGTCGCAATTCTGAGAAATAAAGTCGCAATTCTGAGAAAAAGTCGCAATTGCGAGATATAAAGTGGCAATTCTGAGAAATAAAGTTGCAATTCTGTCAAAAAGTCGCAATTGCGAGATATAAAGTGGCAATTCTGAGAAAAAGTCGCAATTGCGAGATATAAAGTCGCAATTCTGAGAAATAAAGTTGCAATTCTGACAAAAAGTCGCAATTGCGAGATATAAATTCGCAATTCTGAGAAAAAGTCGCATTTGTGAGATATAAAGTGGCAATTCTGAGAAAAAGTCGCAATTGCAAGATATAAATTCGCAATTCTGAGAAAAAGTCGCAATTGCAAGATATAAATTCGCAATTCTGAGAAAAAGTCGCAATTGCAAGTTATAAATTCGCAATTCTGAGAAAGTCGCAATTGCAAGTTGTAAAGTCGCAATTCTGAGAAAAAGTCGCAATTGCAAGAAAAAAAGGCAGAATTGAGAGACATTTTATCTCACAATTCTGACTTTTTTCCTCACAATTGCGTATACATCTCACAATTCTGACATCTTTTCTCAGTTAATTGCAATTGCGAGGCCAATTAACTCTCAGGCCAAATTATCAGGTCAATTCTAAGGGAAAAAAAAGACACACAATTGCAACTTTATTTCACACAATTCTGACTTAATATCTCACATTTCTGACTTTATATCTCACAATTGTGACTTTATATCTCGTAATTGTGAGAAATAAAGTCAGAATTGTGAGATAAAAAGTCGCAATCTTTTATCTTTTTCATTTTTCATTGTGTGGCGGGAAACAAGCTTCCTGATGGCGGTACATCAGGTGATCTCTCTGTCTGTGGTGCTGGTGGTGTTTTCTGTCTGTCTGAGTGTGTGTTTCTCTTCTCCTGTCTTCTGCCTCTCATGGGCTTTGCTCACAGAAAGAAGCGCTGGAAGAGTTTAGGGTAAGTGTGCTGTCCTGCATGTCCTGACCGTTCACTGGACACACCAACTCTTCCTTCACTCCTCATCCTCTGAACCCTTCTTCTTCATGTAACCCATCATGCTCGTCTGTTTTCATCTGTTTATTCTCTTTGTTGTGGCATTAATGGAGCTGAATGCGTTGCATGGCCGTTTGCTCAGACTGCCAGATAAATGAGGTTTATGTTTAACGTTTCATATTTACAAAGGAATGGAAGTACTTTCACAAATAGAAGTTTCATGACATCACATACTCCCAAAACATTTCCTGAAAGAAAGTCACCAAGGCTATTTGATCAGAAATACAGTAAAAACAGTGAAATATTGTAGATCCGCTGTTTTCTGTGTGAATATACAGTAAAGTGCAATTTATTCCTGTGATCAAGCTGAGTGTCCAGCATCATTACTCCAGTCTTCAGTGTCGCATGATCCTTCAGAGATCACTGTAATATGAGGATCTGATGCTCAATAAACATTTATGATTATTATCAATGTTCGAAACCGTGATACATTTTACTTTCAGGATTCTTTGATGAATAGAAAGTTCAAAAGAACAGCATTTATTTGAAATGGACATTACATTAGACATCACTTTTGATCAATAAAAGTATCAATTTCTTAAAAAAAAAAAAAAATCTTACCCCAAACCTTTAAATGGTAGTACTTCTCCAAACATAAAACTGTTTCAGGAATTGAAAAACAAGATTCACAAAAATGAGTTTCCATTGTTCACATTTGCAAGGCCAGAAGAAATGCATCAAGTCTCATCTATCTGGGAAAGCATGACACTTTTGTAGATTCAGGTTATTTGTTGAGGTCAGTTTGTAAAGAATGATTCCACACATGCGCACATACATATTCACACGCGCATATCTATAGACTAAACGAGTAATATGCATGTATTGCTCTCACAGACTCACGTTTTTGAAGTTTACACGGAGATAATAACGTTTTTTGTTTTTTTTTGATAATCTTAAGGTTGAGCCGCTGTAGTCACTCGGACTATTTTAACGATGTCTTTAATAACTTTTCTGGGCCGGGAAGTTTCGATCCCACAGAAGCCTATGGAGGAGTGATCCAGCTCTCAGATTTAATCAGAAATACCTTAATTTGTGTTCTAATGATGAACAAAAATCTTACAGGGTTGAACAACATGAGGGAGAGTCATATACTGACAGAGATTACATTATGGGGTGAACTATCCCTTTAATGGTTTTCTGTTGAGCGGTGTCGTGTTAGCGGCCCCTAAGTTAATAACTAATGATCTTTACAACAGAAGTGAATCAATCTAAACTAACTTTATCTGGACAAAAACTTTATTCTAGAGCCGCTGTAAAGCCTAAACACTCTCTGTTACTGTAATCTCCTGTTATCTATGGAAGCTTGTTTCCGCCACTGAATAAAAAATAAATAAATAAATAATTGCGACTTTTTATTTGAAGTCAGAATTGCGAGATATAAAGTCAGAATTGCGAGATATAAAGTCAGAATTGTGAGATATAAAGTCAGAATTGTGAGATAAAAAGTCAGAATTGTGAGATATAAAGTCAGAATTGTGAGATATAAAGTCAGAATTGTGAGATATAAAGTCAGAATTGCGAGATATAAAGTCAGAATTGCGAGATATAAAGTCAGAATTGTGAGATATAAAGTCAGAATTGCGAGATATAAAGTCAGAATTGCGAGATATAAAGTCAGAATTGTGAGATATAAAGTCAGAATTGTGAGATATAAAGTCAGAATTGTGAGATATAAAGTCAGAATTGCGAGATATAAAGTCAGAATTGCGAGATATAAAGTCAGAATTGCGAGATATAAAGTCAGAATTGTGAAATATAAAGTCAGAATTGTGAGATATAAAGTCAGAATTGCGTTATATAAAGTCAGAATTGAGAGATATAAAGTCAGAATTGCGAGATATAAAGTCAGAATTGCGAGATATAAAGTCAGAATTGAGAGTTATAAAGTCAGAATTGAGAGATATAAAGTCAGAATTGCGTTATATAAAGTCAGAATTGAGAGATATAAAGTCGCAATTCTGGGAAAAAAAGGCGAGAATTGCGACTTTTTATCTCACAATTCTGACTTTATAACACATAATTGCGAGTTTATATCTCGAAATTCGGAAATCTTTTCTCAGAATTGTGAGATATGAACTCACAATTGTGAGTTATCAGGCCAATTCTAAGGGAAATGTTTTTCCCCCCCTCAGAATAGTTTATATCTCGCAATTCTGAGTTTATAACTAGCAATTGTGACTTTTTATCACGCAATTCTGAGTTTATGGGCCCTATTTTAACGATCTGAAACGCAAGTGTCGAAGCGCAAGTAAGTTTGTGGGCGGGTCTTGGGCGCTGTTGCTATATTTCCCCGGCGGGATAAATGCCTCTTGCGCCCGGCGCAAATCTAAAAGGGGTTGGTCTGAAGTAGCTTCATTATTCATAGGTGTGGTTTGGGCGTAACGTGAAATAAACCAATCAGAGCGCCATCCAACATACCCTTTAAGATCAGGTGCGCGTGTTGCATGACGGATTGTTATTATAACGGCGGGTTTACCAGGCGTGCACCAGGAGCGTTCACAGCCGAGGAGACCGACGCTCTCGTCAGGACAGTGAAAGACAGAAGTGACGTGTATGGGGATGGGGGGAACATTCGGTTAAACATTATATACGTATGTGTCTCGCCACTATTGGGCAAACAGGTCTGATCCTTCAGTAATTAGCCTTAAAAAAATTGGGTAATCAGTTTTTTTTTTATCTTCATGTAAACCACAATGATTTCCCTCATGTGTTACTATTTTTCCTTGTTATAATGTATGATTTACAAAAATAAAAACTGCTGCATCTGTGTTGATGAGAGAATCAAAGTGTATGCGCGTTGTGCACCCGATACATTATAGCCAAGCATGCGCGCTTAAAATAGCATCATGAACAACGCGCCACTGACTTTAGACCAGGTGTTTTCTGGTCAGTGGCGCAATTGTTTTCTGGAAGTGTAAAATAGCACCAAGGAATGTTTGCACCGAAACGGGCCTCCTTTTTGCGCCGATCCGGCCCGGGAGCGCAAGTTCATTCCCTAGTTTACCGCCGTGCGTCTGTGGAGATAAAAAATTGTGAGATAAAAAAAAAAAAATTTGTGAGATAAAAAGTCGCAATTACCTTTTTTATGTTTCATTCTGTGGCGGAAACAAGCCTCCATAGTTATCACTGTAAAGCTGTTGTGAAACTCTATGCTAAATGAAGGAGACTTCGATGTTGTCGGTGGAGTGGCAGTGACGCTGTGTCTCGCTCTCCCTCAGGTCTCTGAGTCAGGCCAGCACTAACTCCAACCTGCTGGAGGTGACGGCGGGCCACAAGAAGCGTGTGCGGCGCAGCTCTCTGCTCAACGCCAGGAAGCTGTACGAGGACGCGCAGATGTCCCGGCGGGTGAAGCAGTATCTGGCACACCTGGAGGTGGAGGAGGACGAGGACAAGCTCCACATGCTGTCTCTGCAGTGCGAACCGGCCTACAGCACACGTGCGTCTCCTCACTCACTCCTCACGCAGGACAATGGGGCCGTTTCTGATAGCAGGAATCACATTTCCACTAGTTAAAATGATAATAATTGATATCTGGAATTAGATTTCTCATAGTAACAATGAACATTTTTGATATCAGGAATAACATTTCCACTAGTAACAATGCTAATTCTTTAAATCAACATTTACATTTTCACTAGTTAAAATGATTATTCTTGATTCTTGCAACTAGTAAAAAGTGTAATTGTTGATATCTAATTGTATTTTCACTAGTGAAATGTCACCACAGGCTGCCATTCAAAACCAATTGTTGATTTCTTACGAGTAGAAATATAACTTTTGATATCAACAATTATTGTTACTAGTAAAAATGTGAATTCCTGATATCAATAATTCAATTGTCACCAGTTGAAATGTCTATTCTTAGTATCAACAATTGAAATGCTACTAGTGACAGTGTTCATTTCTGATATCATGAATGTGATTGTTACTAGTAAGAAAGATACCTGAAATATTATTGATATCAGAAATACATTTTCAGATATCGAAAATGTACTAGTAGCAATTCAATTGTTGATATCAACTAGTTACAATTGAAATCAGGATATCAATTCTTATCAAAAATTATATTTCTACTAGTAAGAAATCAATTCTTGATATCAACAATTCATATCCTGAAAATAAATAGACGTTAAAAGGCTTTGATGTAGAAGCAGACTGACTGAACCAGGAGAATGGAGATATCGCCATCTCTTCGTCCAGAGCCGGGTTAAGACGGCTCATTAATTTTCACACAAAAAGAATCTAAAGTGTGATTAAAACAAAACTTTAAAGTTCACGATTCATCAACGTTTTTAAAAAGGTTTGCGTTCTCGAGCCTCCAAACACTGTTGTTGTGCGAATGAGCGGCAAACATTTGTAACACTGTATCTTTCTAAATAATACCGGTTTCACAGTGACGTTTTTTTTTTCCAAGCATGACTGGGTCTTAAATGGATAGTTCACTTTGAAATTAATGTTTGGGATGTTTTATCTGACCTCAAGGGCATCCAAGATGTAGGTGTCTTTGTTTCCACAGTTTCAATTTTGAAATTTTTAGGTCAAACCGTTGTTGTCTATCAGTCATATAATGGAGGTCTATGGTCACCACCTCAAAGAGCATGCACAGAGAAGTCCAAATTAAACATGATTTAATGACTCGTAAATGTAAGTACACATTGATGGCCTAAGACACGAAATGAGTGGTTTGTGTGAGAAAACAAACAGGATTTATGGTGCAGACCGAAGCGCCCACGCCCTCAGATCAGTTGGACGTGACTGTTTTTACAAGAGGTAAAAACGATATAAACACTGTTAGTTTTCTCACACAAACCGCTCGTTTCGTGTCTTAGTCCATCAATGTGTACTTACATTTACGAGTCATTAAATCATGTTTAATCTGGACTTCTCTGTGCATGCTCTTTGAGGTGGTGACCATAGACCTCCATTATATGACTGACAGACAAGAACGGTTTGACCTAAAAATATCAAAATTGAAACTTCTGTGGAAACAAAGACACATAACAAATTAATTTCAAAGTGAACTATCCCTTTAACCACATAATACTGAAATAGATTGCAAACTAATATCCACAAACTTCCGCCAATAGTTGCAGGAACTATGAAACGGTTCCTCCGGCGTGAAAGCCCCTAAAATGATAGATAACCAGGAAACTAGGAGAGACTGTGAAACATTGAGCGAACAAGTTATGTAATGCTTTTCAGTCCATAAATCAGCAACAGTTAAAGGTTCCTCCGGCGTGAAAGCCCCAGTTCCCGTTCCTGCTGCTCGAGATGTCACACGGCTAGACACTGCCATCTGGTGGGCGGAAGGATGTAATATTGAAAAGTTCACTTGATTTCCTGGTAGTAGGAGCTCAGGAGCTCTAGTTATGTTCATGTTAGTGATGATAATGTCTTATTTGAACCGATCTGGTCCTTTTAGACTGTGGAGAGTTTACCCTGGCCTAGTGTTTAGGAAGAACTAATGTCACTTCCATCCAAGTTTAACACTTTACAATAAGGTTTATCTCTTCATTAGTTAACCTGAACTATATTTCTACAGCATTTATTGTTTATTTAAATCAAAAGTTGCGTTTGTCAAAATTATAGAACACCATGATGAACTGTCACTCAAACTCAGTCCCTGATGTTGTGTGTGTGTGTGTTCCCGCAGTGTCGAAGAACCTGAACGAGCGGCGCACCGCTAAGCCGGACATGTCTCCGGTGTCGCTGCGCTCGGGTGTGTCGTCCTCCAGGCCTCAGAGCCGCGTGTCTCAGGTGCTGCAGGTTCCTCCCGTTAGCCTGTACCCGCTGCGCAAGAAGAGCCTCGCTAAAGACCTGAGCGCCGCCTTCAGTACGTGACCCGTCTCACCTCTGAACTCCTGCATCACCACGAGTTATTGGGCTCCTCACACACATGCCATCATTTTACACTTGTTTTATCATAAGAATCATCTGGACTGCACAAAATGCTTCTCGCACTTAGTAGTGTTGTCTTGTTTCCAGTCCAAATATCTAATTCAAAATCAAAGATATATATTTTATTTTGGGTCCTCATACACAATTCCATCATTTTACATATGTGACCCTGAACCACAAAACCAGAGTAGACTTTTTTTAATTTCAGCTCTCAGATCATAGATGTATGATCTGACACTGAATAAACAAGCTTTCTGTTGATGTACAGTATGGTTGGTTAGGAGAGGACCATATCTGGTCGAGATACAACTATTGGAAATGTGGAATCTGAAAATAACCTAAACATTGAGAAAATCTCCTGTAAATGTTGACGATTGTGCTGCATCCACTCACAAAAATACATTTTTTATATATTTACGGTAGGAAATGTACAAAATATCTTCATGGAACATGATCTTCACTTAATATCCTAATGATTTCTGGCATAAAAGAAAAATCTATAATTTTGACCCATACAGTGTGTTGTTGGATATTGCCACAGAAACACCCGTGAGACATGTGACTGGTTTTGTGGTCAGGGTCACGTGTATAATATTGACTTATTTTACCTAGCCTTCCTTTATAAGAAGCGTCTGGTTTGGTGAGACAGTCGTACGTCAGTGACATCTTGTCATCTTTTATGTAGACAAGCTTTCTGTTTTGTTTTAAGCTGAGTTTTATTGTTTATCTGTGATCGGTGCTATATGAATCAAGTTTCCTTCCTTCCTTCAGGTCCCAGCTCGCCTCAGACGCAGAAGAGAGCCGAAGACCCGTCCACCGCCTCGTCCCTGCACTCCAGTCCCACCGGCTCGCCTCAGGGATCTCCTCGCAAAGGTCAGTCACGGTAGAACAGAACGGAAATGAGAAGGAAATGTAGTCATTTAGCAGACGCCTTACAGCTGAGGAATACAGCAGAGCTAGTCATCGTGAAGAGGCAAACACAACACACGAGCTGCTCAACTTACAAAGAGTAGCATAGCCAGACAAGCGAGGTTAAAAGAAAATCATTATATACACTACACTAAGATTTTTGATGTTTTTAAATGAAGTCTCTTCTGCTCACCAAGGCTGCTTTATTTGATGAAGAAAAAAAAATGACACAGTAATATTGTGAAATATTATGACAATTTAAAATGACTGTTTTCTATTTTAATATATTTTAAAATGTAATTTGACAGCTGAATTTTCAACATCATTATTGTTGCTGATTACACATCAGTTTTCAGTGTCACATGATCCTTCAGAAATCATTCTAATATGCTGATTTTATGCTCAAAAAAACATCAATTATTATTTTCAATGTTGAAAACAGTTTTTCGCATTTTTTCCCCAAAATTCTATGATGAATAGAAAGTTAAAAAAAACAGCATTTATTTAAAATATTATCTTTTCTAACATTATAAATGTCTTTACTGTCACTTTTGATCAATTTAACTCATCCTTGATGAATAAAAGTATTTTCTAATTTCTTTCCCCCAAAAATAAAAAATAAATTCTTACTGACCCCAAACTTTTGAAGGGCAGTGATTAATGTTACAAAAGATTTCCATTTCAGATCAATTGTGTTCTTTTGAACTTTCTATTCATCAAAGAATCCTGAAATAAAAATGTAAAAAACTGTTTTCAACGTGGATAATAATCATAAATGTTTCTTGAGCATCATATTATAATAATTTCTGTAGGATCATGTGACAATGAAGACTGGAGTAATGATGCTGTAAATTCAGCTTTGATCACAGGAATAAATAACACTATATATTCACATAAAAAACGCTGTTTTAAACTGTAATAATATTTCACAATATTACTGTTTTTTTTTTTTTTGTATTTTTTATCAAATAATTGCAGCCTTGGTGAGCAGAAGAGACTTCTTTTAAAAACATTAAAAAAATCTTACCGATCTAAAACTTTTGACTGGTAGTGTATATTTAATTTTTTAACCCTTTAGAACCTGAAGCTGAAATAACGAACTATAATTAACTATAATAACTATATTCTAAAACTATGTGCTTTCTAAAATAGCTTTCAACAAATTACAGTTATTGACTTTATTATTGTGTGTGGGGGGTTTGTAAATAGAATTAAATAGAACAGCAGAACTGATTTTTATTTAGAAGAAAAACTGAAAAATCACGAAAAAAAGAAACTAACACTTTAAAGTTGAAAAATGAACAGGAATACATATGAAGAGTTCAGATGCAAAAGCCTCTAAATGCCATTTGAAATTTTCTTCTTTAATGATGATTTTTATCAAACTTGTATATTTAAGTTCAGTGATCTCACTTAAATGGCAATGATGATTACCTATTAATTGTTATTTAAGTGAAATTACTGAACTTAAATATACAAGTTTGATAAAAATCATCATTCAAGAAGAAAATTTCAAATGGCATTTAGAGGCTTTTGCATCTGAACTCTTCATACATTCAAGTCTTTTCTGTGACATTGGGTTTTCATTAAGTAAACAATGTCTTTCATATTGTCAGTATTATTTCAGACTAAAGCAGCTTCGGTTTACTTGATTATCCACACATATTTTTTATTTTATTTTTTTAAATATCATGCATCTAATATGATCATCAGGCTTATTTTTTTAATCTCTCAATCATCGTTGTATTGCACTGGATTATATGTTTCAACACTATTAAATATCACCTAACTAAGACATTATTGGCAGATATAGAGTGACGAGAGTGATTTTATATGATTATATGTCAGTATCTGCTATACTGTTATAAACATCTCATTGATTTACATCATAATCTCATCTTAGTTTTGGGCCATATAAATATAATAGTGCTGGGCAAACATTAATCGCCATTCATCACATCCAAAATAAAAGTTTGTGTTTACATAATACACATTGTGTGTGTGTGTGTACTGTGTATAATTATTAAGTAGACACACACATGCATGCCTATATTTAAGAAATATAACACATTTATATATACACAGTACACACACATATATTAAACACACACTTTTATTTTGGATGCCCAGCACTAAAATATATCAGTGCATATTTTTTATATGCATTAAATTTTTTTTTTTTTCTAATTATGTTGTTAAAAGGCCCAATAAACTTCCATTTCAAAAGCCTATTATTTCATATGTCAGGGTTGATTGTGTCGTTAATGATATGAAGAGTTTGGTTCCAAAACGCTATAAATCCATTTTGATGAATTTGAGTAAATCTGTGTTTTCTTTAGCAAGAAAATGGGAAGATGAAAACCACTATTTTCGGTTTCAAATTTTCACATAGCATTTGTAGATTATAATAACAATAAAAAATGAAATCCAGGTTTTGATTTTCAAAGATTTATTATAAAAACAGATCGTTTTTTTCCCCCAAAATGCAATAAATCCAATAATTTATTTTTTTTCAAAATGCAATTAATCAAAATAAAATTGTATACAGAATTGAATTTCTTGTGCATACTATAAATCCATTGCTTTAATATAACAATATTCGGTAACATTTTAAGGGTTCATGTCATGAATTATCATGAATTCATGGATAAATGAATTATGCATTAATTCATATTAATATCATCAGGAACTAACAACGTTTTTGTTTAACAGTTCAACGTTTTTCATTCATGGATGAACAAAACCTTAATTAAAACATTAACTAAGACGAGCACATCATCATGAATTATGATTTATTAAGCATGATCTAACGATATCGCTGTTGTCAACCTTGGGACGTCGCCGCTGAACTTTTTTGACGGCGATCAGCTGTAAACCGGCTCGGTCCTGCTCGGTTTTCGTTGACTTTGAATAAAACAACTGAAAGTTTTCCAAAAGATCCTCTGGGGGTCAGTGTGTCAGAAGTTTGATGCTGTCGTGTGAGAACAAGCAACAGCCGGCATTTCCTCCTCCCGAGTCCATCTTCTTCCTCACGTAAATGATTTGATTTCGATGTCACGTTTATTCGTGCAGGATGCCTTACCCTCCGCAGGTTCACCAATGCTGTCAAAATTATTCATTTTTTTGTTTGTTTGTTGATCGAAAGGACAAAATAGAGGACGCCGGGTTAGTTAAAGCGCTGCCGGTACTGTTTACATTGCGTGGAATGGTGCGTTGTGATTGGTTTAGCGGATATGTGGCATTTTGCAGAAAAGGGAGACTGGCGTTTGTCGCGGTTTGGAAAGAAAGGGAGAAAACATTACATAATAACAGCACGGCGGATATACCATTTTACGTAAAATTAAACATTGTTTTGTATCTGGTCGGTATTGAAAAGTCAGATTTTTGCAGCAACTCATTTTTTTTTAAAAATGGCGTTTATCGCGTTTTGGAACCAAACTCTTCATATGCATGCATGCATTAAGGCCTTATTTATTCCGAAATATCCCCATGAATTATTGATTCTGAAATGCATAACTTGGACAGTTTCCCCTGATAACCGTAATGTGGACTCGTGCATTTTCTGTAAATCTGCTTTGAGACGACGTGTATAAAGCGCTGTACAAATAATCGTGAGTGGAACTGACCCTGAAATGTTCGCATGTCTCTCTCCCAGCAGGCGCAGCTCCCAGACTGAACCTGTCGGGCTCGTCGTCGTCTCTGGCCGGCGAGGTCACCACTCGGGCGCCCGCGCGCACGTACGGCATAGGTGGGGCTTTCCTTCATAGACAGATGCTGAAGATGACGTGTCAGAGCGACAGACAGCAGGACAGTAGACAGAGGCAGCCAGAGAAGCCACGCAAGCGCTTCAGGTCCCCCTTCACACTCTTTAGAGACAGGAGCGAGTCCAGGGACAGGAGCGAGGCCGTGACACAGCTCACACACACTGAGGAGACAGACAGACACTGCAGGAGCAGAACTGTGTGATTACTGTAGTTCAGCCACAGATCATCATCATTTACACATGATCCAGTATTGGGTCGAGTGAATGATGGCAGGATCTACTTAAGTGTGATGTCATGCATTGTTCAGAGAGTTGATGAGTTGACGAAGATCCTGTCATCATCATCGAGACACATTCACTCGCAGTGAACGAGTGTGTGATTCATTATTGGTTATTTTTCACACCAAACCATGACGGTTTGTTTGACACGAGTCGAGTGATTGATGGCAGGATCTTTGCCGTTTTTTTAAGTGTGATGTCATGTATTGTTCATAGAGCAGAGGAGTTGAGGAGTTGTTCAGAGAGCAGATGAGTTGATATGTGTTGTGATTGTCCCATGGTTCTTGACTTTCATGATCCGGCTGTGAGTTTCCTCAGTTGTGTAATAAAGGCAGATGTTGTTTGGATTGCTCTGTCGGCTCCGTGTCGTGCTCGTGACGTCCTGCGAGTGTGACGGCGCACACACTGATCTCCCGTCTGCTGTCTCCGATAGGTTACGCCCTGATGCCGGTGGGCAGATCTGAGCTGTCCGACTCCAGCGAGATCTCGTCCCGCTCCAGCATCGTCAGTAACTGCTCTGTGGACTCCATGCTCACGGCCAACACCGCCAGCTGCCCGTCAGAGACGCCCGCGCACACTCTCGCAGACACCAGGTGCATATCACACAACATATCAGCGCTTGGTTCAGTTGTGAATATGGGTAACAATATGCTTTCTGTGTCTTTGTTTGATCATAATGCACAAACTAATCACAAACACAGTAGTCTTTGATGATGCTTACATCTCTATACTAATGCAAAACTGAATAAAAGGAAGTATTTCTGTCTGGAAATGTCTATCTTTCTAAAAATCTTTCTTTCTTTCTTTCTAAATAATCGTTCTTTCTAACTAATATATCTTTCTTTCTTTCTCACTAATCGTTCTTTCTATTTTAACTAATCTTTCTTTTTATCTATCTTTCTAAATATCGTTCTTTCCGATCTTTCTTTCTAACTAATCTGTCTTTTTTTTCTTTCTTTCTTTCTTTCTTTCTTTCTTTCTTTCTTTCTTTCTTTCTTTCTTTCTTTCTTTCTTTCTTTCTTTCTTTCTTTCTTTCTTTCTTTCTTTCTTTCGTTCTAACTAATTGTTCTATCTTTCTAACTAATCTTTCTTTCTTTCTTTCTTTCATTCTTTTTAACTAATCGTTCTATCTTTCTAACTAATCTGTCTTTCTTTCTAACTAATCTTTCTTTCTTTCTTTCTTTCTTTCTTTCTAACTAATTGTTCTATCTTTCTAACTAATCTTTCTTTCTTTCTTTCATTCTTTTTAACTAATCGTTCTATCTTTCTAACTAATCTTTCTTTCTTTCTTTCTAACTAATTGTTCTATCTTTCTAACTAATCTGTCTTTCTTTCTTTCATTCTTTTTAACTAATCGTTCTATCTTTCTAACTAATCTGTCTTTCTTTCTTTCTAACTAATCTTTCTTTCTTTCTTTCTAACTAATTGTTCTATCTTTCTAACTAATCTTTCTTTCTTTCTTTCATTCTTTTTAACTAATCGTTCTATCTTTCTTACTAATCTGTCTTTCTTTCTTTCTAACTAATCGTTCTATCTTTCTAACTAATCTGTCTTTCTTTCTTTCTTTCTAACTAATCGTTCTATCTTTCTAACTAATCTGTCTTTCTTTCTTTCTTTCATTCTTTCCTTCTTTCTTTCATTCTTTCTAACTAATCGTTCTATCTTTCTAACTAATCTGTCTTTCTTTCTTTCTTTCTAACTAATCTTTCTTTCTTTCTAACTAATCGTTCTATCTTTCTAACTAATCTGTCTTTCTTTCTTTCTTTCTAACTAATCGTTCTATCTTTCTAACTAATCTGTCTTTCTTTCTTTCATTCTTTCTTTCTTTCTTTCATTCTTTCTAACTAATCGTTCTATCTTTCTAACTAATCTGTCTTTCTTTCTTTCTTTCTTTCTAACTAATCTTTCTTTCTTTCTAACTAATCGTTCTATCTTTCTAACTAATCTGTCTTTCTTTCTTTCTTTCTAAATAATCAATCTTTCTTTCTAACTTATCTTCTTATCTTTCTTTCTTTCAAAACAAATGCAAAACTTAATAAAAGTAAGTAATTATGTCTGAAAATGTCAGCCCGGCACGAGGTATATATCCCACAACACCTTTTTTTTTTATTTGTGAAGTTCAAATTTGATTATTTGATAGCAAAATGCTTTTTTCATTCAGGCAGGTGTTTAAAAACTGCAGATGTTTTAACACCAGTTATATCCTGTCAATCAAAAAGATGCTTAAAGGGATACTCCACTTTTTTTGTAAATAGGCTCATTTTACCACTCCTCTAGAGTTAAACAGTCGAGTTTTACCGTTTTTGAATCCATTCAGCCGATTTTCTGATATTTAGAAGAATATCAGTAACCAGACAGTTTCTGGTCTCATTGACTACTAACGACTTTTCTAATGGATTCGAAAATGGTAAAACTCTGGTTTAACTCTGGAGGAGTTGTAAAATGAGCCTATTTACAAAAAAAAAAAAAGTGGAGTATCCCTTTAAAAGCTTACAGACTGCAACTCGCACGGACTCACTCCAGTTATGAGTCTCCAGGTATTGTCTCTATTTTCGACTCAGTGCACTTGTCTTTGGCCCTAGCTCACCTTCACCTCGACCCTCTGGGACGAGGGAGTCCAGCGTGCCGTGTTCGACGAGCGGCGAGGAGCTGACGGTGCCGAATCACTCCTCGGTCTCTGAGATGGCCGACAGCGGGCGCGGGAGCTGGACGTCCTGCTCCAGTAACTCCCACGACAGCCTCCAGACTCTCCCCGGCCCGCGCGCCCCCGACCTGCTCACCCACCGCCACACGCCCATGGGCGGCCCGATCGCTGAGGTCCCGATCCCAGACGGCTCCGAGCCCAGTCGGTCCTCGAGCTCGCTGTCGGACACGTACGAGGGAAGCTACGACACCATCAAACGCAAGAGCGCAGATCCCGCCGCCTCCGACGGGCAGAACAGCACAGATCCTGCCTACAAGATGATCACGTCCAGCACGGAGAAGGGCCTCATAGGTGAGCACGAGCTTCGGCTTCTTCACGTGACACGGCAGACTTCACTGTCCTCTCAGTGTGCAGCTCTTTGGCTTGCGCTGCTGAGTGCTTCTGTCTCGATACCTCGAGGACACACACACACATACACACACACACACACATATATATACACAGTACATAGTAGTCAACATTTGAAGTGGATCAATCCTTTCATCATTTGATGAACTTTCAAATGTTGACCAGTGTACGTCAGTAGAGCGATTTACCCAGGACGTTGTGCGCTTTCCACAAATAGGGCACATGTAGGGTAGTCTTGCTACACTTTTACAGTAAAGACATCAGTTGACATCAGTTTAATCAAAGTCAGATGTATCTGGATAGTGCTATGCTCAGAAAGTGGGTTGCCCGTTAAATGATTACCTTTATTTTCAACTAGTAATGTCTCTGATTTCAGCCAGAATTACTATAATGCGATTGCGTTTCCTTACTGTTGTTGAAAATTACAAATATTGTAAATATATCGCCTGACTCTTAGTACTTTAAACAGCGAGTTGCTAGAAAGTCAACACATGATGCTTTGGTGAACAAAGGGTTTGAAATGAACAATTACAAATACGAATCAACTTTGGCTGGAAAACACTGTCAAATTACGAGCAATTTGGCGCATTACTTATTATGTTTACTCACATTTCTGGGGAAGTTCATCTAAGACAAATCTATCTGTTTATCTATCTATCTATCTATCTATCCATCCATCCATCCATCTGTTACTAAATATGTCTTCCTTTCTTTCTAACTAATCTATCTATCTGTCTTTCAAACTAATCTTTCTATCTTTCTTTCTAACGAATCTAACTTTCTTTCTAACTAATATATCTATCTTTTTTCTAACTAATCTATCTTTTTTCTTACTAATCTTTCTTTCTTTCTTTCTTTCTAATTAATCTATCTTTCTTTCTTTCTTTTTTTCTAACTAATCTATCTATCTATCTATCTTTCTAACTAATCTATCTTTCTTTCTAACTAATCTATCTTTCTTTCTATCTATCTATCTATCTATCTATCTATCTATCTATCTATCTATCTATCTATCTATCTATCTATCTATCTATCTATCCATCCATCTGTTGCTAAATATGTCTTCCTTTCTTTCTAACTAATCTATCTATCTCTTTCTTTCAAACTAATCTATCTATCTTTCTTTCAAACTAATCTTTCTATCTTTCTTTCTAACGAAAATAACTTTCTTTCTAACTAATATATCTATCTTTTTTCTAACTAATCTATCTTTTTTCTTACTAATCTTTTTCTTTCTTTCTTTCTTTCTTTCTTTCTTTCTTTCTTTCTAATTAATCTATCTTTCTTTCTTTCTTTTTTTCTAACTAATCTATCTATCTATCTATCTATCTATCTTTCTAACTAATCTATCTTTCTTTCTAAACTAATCTATCTTTCTATCTATCTATCTATCTATCTTTCTAACTAATATATCTTTTTTTCTATCTAATCCATCTTTCTTTCTAACTAATCTATCTTTCTTTCTTTCTAACTAATCTTTCTTTCCTTGAAACTAATCTTTCTATCTATCTATTATTTATCTATCTGTCTACCTAATCTTTCCTTTCATTCTAACCAATCATTTTCTTTCTTTCAAACTATTCTTTCTTTCTAACTAATCCATCTATCAAATTTCAATCTACTTTAAACTTCTTCAAACTCTCTGGTCCGGCTTTCTCAAGCCAACTTTTTTTTCTAGCTTATTATTATTTTCGCTGTTAGAAGTTCTGAATGGCCTGTAACTTAAAAATTTAGTAGCCAAATTTACCGTTAAGTGAAAAAATTAATTTCAAACCCTGATTGTATATATTTAATTGTCTTCTATCAGAGATAATGTTGCAAGTTCAGGACGTGTTTGTGTGCCCTGTTGGTGTGAAGCGTTCAGCGTTCATCCTCGAGTCGTGACTCGTGCATGCTTGTGTCAGTTTCTTTGATTTACGTACCCCGTTTCTTTAATTGATGTTTGCCTTGTGTCTGTGTGTGTTTTGTGTGTTTTCTGTGCTCCTTCCCCTCCATCACATCACTTCCTGCACCTGTCCTCCTGCTTCCTGCCAGTGTACTGTGTAACGTCACCCTGCAAAGACGATAGGTTCACGGCGCCGCCCCCGACCCCGCCGGGGTACCAGGGCCTGAGTCTGGGCGACACACTCGTGCAGGACGGAGGAAAAGCCCACGTAAAGCCGCCCGATTATAGCGTGGCCTTGCAGAGGTGCAAGCTGAGACACAGCCTGGCCGAGCCCACCCTGTCCCGGCCGCCCAGTGTCGCTCTCCAGACTCACGCCGAGAGCGAGGAGGGTATGTGGCCGATCCCTGCGGAGCTCACAAACACGGCCGGCTCGCGTTCCCCCCACAGCTACAGAAGCGAATGATATTTTACATGAGGAAATATGATTTAGGACTGCTTCTGGATCACGCTAGCATTTGTCCAGTTTAATCAAAGGAGTAGTTCACTTCAGAATTAAAATTTCCTGATAATTTACACACCAATCACACGTCATCCAAGATGTTCATGTGTGTCTGTCTTCAGAGGAAATGAAGGTTTGTGAAAAACACACTCCAGGATGTTTCTCCATATAGTGTCTTCAATGGGGTCCAACGGGTCGAAGGTCAGATGTGAGTTTCAAAGTCTCGACACGATCCAGCCGAGGAATAAGAGTCTGATCTAGACAAACCAGTCACATTTACAACAAAACACACATTTATACACTTTAACCGCTTGCTCTAGCTGTGATGCGACACATATTACATCATCAGGGTGAAAGGTCACGCGTGTTTATATGTGGAATAAGGCAAAAAACTCAATCTCAGTTTCTCCTCCAACATTAAAATCGTCCGGCATCGTTGTTTTACCTTTTTTTTTGGTGTAAATGGCGTTTGACTTTGGTCTTTGCACGTTGACTTTGTAAACACTGGGTCCGTTCTTACGCTTGACCTTTCACCCTGATCTCGTAATGTGTGTCTCATCACAGCTCGAGCAAGACCAGCATTAGTGGTTAAAGTATATAAATGTGTGTTTTGTTGTAAATGTGACTGGTTTGTCTAGATCAGACTCTTATTCCTCGACTGAAACTCACATCTGACCTTCGACCCGTTGGACCCCATTGAGGACAAAAAGAGATAAAAAGAGAAATCCTTTAATATGCCAAAATCAAACAAGAATCCAATGTGCAGATTTCCGTTCTGGAAATGTTTGAATATTAATGCATTTTTAATTAGATAACCTAATAAAATCTGTAGTGTTTTAACTCTATTGACCGGGGCTGTCTTGCCTTAATTATCCCAACAGAGAGAGGAGAATACCTACAGGAGTATCCTCATCAGTATTACACACACTCAAATCATCATTACTATGATCAGTGTGTTTCCACTTCAGTGGCTGTTAAACGAATACTGGTGTTTACTGTGACTCCAAAAACTAGAATATCGTGCATTTATTTCAGTAATTCAACTTAAAGCTGAAACTAATATATTATATAGACTCATTACATGCAAAGTGAGATATTTCAAGCCTTTATTTGTTATAATTGTGATGATTATGGCTTACAGATATGAAAACCCCAAATTCAAAGTTAGAATATTGTGAAAAGGTTTTCATCAACAAAATTATAACAAATAAAGGCTTGAAATATCTCACTGTGCATGTATTGAGACTATATAATATATTAGTTTTACATTTTAAGTTGAATTACTGAAATACATTTTTCCAGTTTCACCTGTGTATGATAATTACGGTAGGCTAGTAATTATATTAATATTTATAAATGTATAATTAAACTTGTTTAAATGTACAGTTTGGTGTTGATTTGTTTGTAAAAAAATATCCTAATAAAATAAATGCATTCATCTCTCAATTGGGCATTTCTCATTAAAGATATAGAGTTTGAAATCTAGCGGTTCTAGTAGTTGTGGGATTTATAATTATTAATGTGAATTATCATTTGTGTCGGGGTGGAGTGTGAGCTGGTGGTGTTTTGGTGCCGATGGGTGTAAGTGGCGTTTGAGGTTTGTGTTGAAGCTTTGCTGTGTGTGTTATGATGAAGCTCTCAGCGCTTTAAACTCCGCCTCACTAACCGTCTTCTTGTGTGTGTGTGTGTGTTTCAGACGAGCAGGTTTCTGCCGTGTGACCGGACCTCAGCGCTGCACACACACTCCAGAGCAGGTACAGGTTTGCACACGTTAAACAAAGCCGTTCATGGAGCGACTCGCTGAAGAAAGCCTGTCCAGCCGGACCCGTTCCTCCAATACCTCTTCTCATTCACACGCTCGCCGGAGAAACACACACTCGAGTCTCGTGGTGTGTGTGAGCAGGAATCAGACACAGAGACGAGTGTTTACGGTACTTTAGTGGCGCACAGCTTCCTGTGTGTGTGTGAAGGTTACGCATGATCTCAGCAGCGTTCACACACACGTCCTCGGTTTACAGTGTTTCTTCTCGCTGAAATGCGCATCACGCTGCGTCTGCCTCGTTTTTTACGCAATAATAACGTGTGTGTGTGTGTGTGGACGGACGGCGTCGTCCGATTGTACAGTCTCAGATGTGGATTTGCTACTCCTGTCGGTGTATATAGTGAGCGAGATCAATATTGCTTGTCAAGGGAAAATATATTTATATGCTAGATGTGCATTTTCAGTCCTTGTTAGTTAATGCTCTTTTGTATAGAATGCAACGGTTTGATAGTTGTTACTCTCTGTTAGCAAACGAACACATTTGTATATGAACTAAATCTTCGATGTATAGGGTTGACATTAATGTATTATATTAAGGGAATATAACTGGAGTATTACGTTTGTATGGTTTGCTTTCCCTGTCCGGACCCAGATGCTTTTCTTCTTACTGTTGTTTTATTTTTTGAGTATGTTGTTTGCGATGAACAGCATTGATTGTATTAATGATATAAGCATAAAGGGTTTTTTAATGTATGTTTTATTGTAAATGAATGTGATCATGTACAGCTGAGAAGAGAGTGCGCTATATAAACTGTATTTTCACTATTTTGTTGAAATAAATCTGGGGTTGTGACCGCTCCAGTTACTGGGCAGGAATCATTTCTTTCTGGAAACTCGACTAATGTTTCGTGTTCGCTGTAAAGCTGGGGACACACTTGGCAACTAGCTGAAATATACTCAACAGTTAAAGGAACACTCTGACTTTTTGGGACTTTAGCTTATTTACTGTATCCCCCAAAGTTAGATAAGTCCATACATACCTTTTTCATCTCCGTGCGTGCTGTAACTCGGTTTGACGCACCCACCGTTAGCCTAGCTTAGACTGGATGTAAATGGCTACATTGGGTCACCTGATGGAGTTTTAGGATACCATTGGGTCACCTGATGGAGTTTTAGGATACCATTGGGTCACCTGATGGAGTTTAGGATACCATTGGGTCACTTGATGGAGTTTTAGGATACCATTGGGTCACCTGATGGAGTTTTAGGACACCATTGGATCACCTGATGGAGTTTTAGGATACCATTGGGTCACCTGATGGAGTTTTAGGACACCATTGGGTCACCTGATGGAGTTTTAGGATACCATTGGGTCACCTGATGGAGTTTAGGATACCATTGGGTCACCTGATGGAGTTTTAGGATACCATTGGGTCACCTGATGGAGTTTTAGGACACCATTGGGTCACCTGATGGAGTTTTAGGATACCATTGGGTCACTTGATGGAGTTTTAGGACACCATTGGGTCACCTGATGGAGTTTTAGGACACCATTGGGTCACTTGATGGAGTTTTAGGACACCATTGGGTCACCTGATGGAGTTTTAGGACACCATTGGGTCACCTGATGGAGTTTTAGGACACCATTGGGTCACCTGATGGAGTTTTAGGACACCATTGGGTCACCTGATGGAGTTTTAGGAACCATTGGATCACTTGATGGAGTTTTAGGACACCATTGGGTCACCTGATGGAGTTTTAGGACACCATTGGGTCACCTGATGGAGTTTTAGGACACCATTGGGTCACCTGATGGAGTTTTAGGACACCATTGGGTCACTTGATGGAGTTTTAGGAACCATTGGGTCACCTGATGGAGTTTTAGGACACCATTGGGTCACCTGATGGAGTTTTAGGACACCATTGGGTCACTTGATGGAGTTTTAGGACACCATTGGGTCACCTGATGGATTTTTAGGACACCATTGGGTCACCTGATGGAGTTTTAGGACACCATTGGGTCACCTGATGGAGTTTTAGGACACCATTGGGTCACCTGATGGAGTTTTAGGAACCATTGGGTCACTTGATGGAGTTTTAGGACACCATTAGGTCACCTGATGGAGTTTTAGGATACCATTGGGTCACCTGATGGAGTTTTAGGACACCATTGGGTCACCTGATGGAGTTTTTAGGACACCATTGGGTCACCTGATGGAGTTTTAGGACACCATTGGGTCACTTGATGGAGTTTTAGGACACCATTGGGTCACCTGATGGAGTTTCAGGTCACTTGATGGAGTTTTAGGACACCATTGGGTCACTTGATGGAGTTTTAGGACACCATTGGGTCACCTGATGGAGTTTTAGGACACCATTGGGTCACCTGATGGACTTTTAGGGGAGACCATTGGGTCACCCGATGGGGTTTTAGGAAACCATTGGATCACTTGATGCAGTTTTAGGACACCATTGGATCACTTGATGCAGTTTTAGGACACCATTGGGTCACCTGATGAAGTTTTAGGACACCATTGGATCACTTGATGAAGTTTTAGGACACCTTTGGGTCACTTGATGGAGTTTTAGGACACTATTGGGTCACCTGATGGAGTTTTAGGACACCATTGGGTCACCTGATGGAGTTTTAGGACACCATTGGGTCACTTGATGGAGTTTTAGGATACCATTGGGTCACCTGATGGAGTTTTAGGAACCATTGGATCACTTGATGGAGTTTTAGGACACCATTGGGTCACCTGATGGAGTTTTAGGACACCATTGGGTCACCTGATGGAGTTTTAGGACACCATTGGGTCACTTGATGGAGTTTTAGGAACCATTGGGTCACCTGATGGAGTTTTAGGACACCATTGGGTCACCTGATGGAGTTTTAGGACACCATTGGGTCACTTGATGGAGTTTTAGGATACCATTGGGTCGCCTGATGGAGTTTTAGGAACCATTGGGTCACTTGATGGAGTTTTAGGACACCATTGGGTCACCTGATGGAGTTTTAGGACACCATTGGGTCACCTGATGGAGTTTTAGGACACCATTGGGTCACTTGATGGAGTTTTAGGAACCATTGGGTCACCTGATGGAGTTTTAGGACACCATTGGGTCACCTGATGGAGTTTTAGGACACCATTGGGTCACTTGATGGAGTTTTAGGACACCATTGGGTCACCTGATGGAGTTTTAGGACACCATTGGGTCACCTGATGGAGTTTTAGGACACCATTGGGTCACCTGATGGAGTTTTAGGAACCATTGGGTCACCTGATGGAGTTTTAGGACACCATTGGGTCACCTGATGGAGTTTTAGGACACCATTGGGTCACTTGATGGAGTTTTAGGACACCATTGGGTCACCTGATGGAGTTTTAGGACACCATTGGGTCACCTGATGGAGTTTTAGGACACCATTGGGTCACCTGATGGAGTTTTAGGACACCATTGGGTCACCTGATGGAGTTTTAGGAACCATTGGGTCACTTGATGGAGTTTTAGGACACCATTGGGTCACCTGATGGAGTTTTAGGACACCATTGGGTCACCTGATGGAGTTTTAGGACACCATTGGGTCACCTGATGGAGTTTTAGGACACCATTGGGTCACCTGATGGAGTTTTAGGACACCATTGGGTCACTTGATGGAGTTTTAGGATACCATTGGGTCACCTGATGGAGTTTTAGGAACCATTGGATCACTTGATGGAGTTTTAGGACACCATTGGGTCACTTGATGGAGTTTTAGGACACCATTGGGTCACCTGATGGAGTTTTAGGACACCATTGTGTCACTTGATGGAGTTTTAGGATACCATTGGGTCACCTGATGGAGTTTTAGGAACCATTGGATCACTTGATGGAGTTTTAGGACACCATTGGGTCACTTGATGGAGTTTTAGGATACCATTGGGTCACCTGATGGAGTTTTAGGAACCATTGGATCACTTGATGGAGTTTTAGGACACCATTGGGTCACTTGATGGAGTTTTAGGATACCATTGGGTCACCTGATGGAGTTTTAGGACACCATTGGGTCACTTGATGGAGTTTTAGGACACCATTGGGTCACTTGATGGAGTTTTAGGATACCATTGGGTCACCTGATGGAGTTTTAGGAACCATTGGATCACTTGATGGAGTTTTAGGACACCATTGGGTCACCTGATGGAGTTTTAGGACACCATTGGGTCACCTGATGGAGTTTTAGGACACCATTGGGTCACTTGATGGAGTTTTAGGAACCATTGGGTCACCTGATGGAGTTTTAGGACACCATTGGGTCACCTGATGGAGTTTTAGGACACCATTGGGTCACTTGATGGAGTTTTAGGAACCATTGGATCACTTGATGGAGTTTTAGGAACCATTGGGTCACCTGATGGAGTTTTAGGTCACCATTGGGTCACCTGATGGAGTTTTAGGACACCATTGGGTCACCTGATGGAGTTTTAGGTCACCATTGGGTCACCTGATGGAGTTTTAGGACACCATTGGGTCACCTGATGGAGTTTAGGACACCATTGGGTCACCTGATGGAGTTTTAGGACACCATTGGATCACTTGATGGAGTTTTAGGAACCATTGGGTCACATTTTGTGTCAATATTAAATAAAACACAGAATCCACAGAAAAATCCCCAGTGTTAAATTAACACCCCTCAGTGCACTTATGGTGCACTTACTCCGCACTACAGAGTGTTAAAGTGTTAGGTCACCCAAAAATAAAAACTCAGTCAGTTATTACTGTAAGACCAACCCCGTAAGACCTTCGTTCATCTTTGGGACACATATTAAGATATTTTTGATGAAATCCAAGAGGTTTCCCAGCAACAGCATTGCATCTTTCAAGGCCAGAAAGGTAGTAAAGATATTGTTAAAATATCCATGTGTCCATGCGACTCCAGTGGTTCAACCTCAATGTAATGAAGTGACTCCCCCAAATATTGACTTTATTCAACAAACTCTTCTCTTCCACATCATTCTCCTATGTTGTTGACATGAGGCCTTGTCCAGCAAAGCATTTTTCATACGGCTGGTGTATTTTTTCAATTGTTTTCAATGGGAGGGTAACGAGGTGCTGAACGTTTTTTTTTTTTTTCACGCTGAAGTGCTCAGCGTTTTTTTACCAGTCACCGATAGTTGAAGAATGTTCAACTTTGGGTAAAAACGCAGCGCTCATCACTGTCACTGTTTACCCAGCCATCCAATCACAGTGGAGGAGGGGCGGGGCTAATACCACACCGACATTCTTTCTGTATAATGACATCAACCGGCAGAGCTAACCCAACAACACGGATGAAAAATAAATTTTTAGTATGAAACAAATTACCTGCGAAATCAGTTTCAAGTAAACTGTGCTGCGGATATTCTGTATCATAGCAACGAAACGTCTCAACTGAAGAAACGCTCCGCTGCCAAAACACTCTTAAGCGCCCAAAGCTAGGCGTTTACAGCAGAGCGTCTAGTAAACAGTGCAGCGCTTCCACTGGTTCTACGTCAGAATGCCGGCCCACTATTGGCCGATGTTAGTCATGTGAACACAACACATGCATGTGATGCTGACGCAGGAGCAGCCTATGGTGAGCCAGCGTTCTGACGTTGAACAGAAGGACAAAAGTGGGTTGTGAGAAGCCTTGAATCGGAAGTTAGAATAGAAGAATAAATGTCATCAGTATGCGCTAGTGGTAAACAAACAGAGCAAGTTGAAACACACTTTGGAAATTGTGCTGAAAAAAGGGAGAAAGTGAAAGATGAGATTATGGATGTGGTAATGTTTAGGGAAAGAGGCCAATTTTGCAAATGGAGCTTGAGGTACGTAGTTTTATATTTTAGCGCCATTTCAATTCGCCAATTCGCCATTTCATGTTGTATTTTTATTGGCAAGTCAGTAGACGTAGGTCGTAGCAGCAAACACACAGTGAGATGATCATGCAAAATTTTGGATTTTGGATAATAATTATCGCAGTCTTTCTTTGGTTGCAAACCTGTGACATCACCATCCTTGAACCTCTCTCACTGTACGATGTAGGACCAGCGTTTAGGAGCCATAACCACAGAAATCGCCACGATAGATCACCTTTGGTCTGGGACAGGACAAAATCGTACAATGTGTGGAATTTTCCCAGAGTACTCCCCCCGTCCCAGGTTTGGGATAGGACTAGTAAGTGAGGAGATGGCCTGGTGGAGGGATGCTGGAAACTGTCATAGAACAGCGGTAAAGAATTGCAGATACACCTTTTGATGTTCATTGAGTTATTAGATGAATTAACTGAACGTGCTTCTCCTGAACTTTGTTAATAAAACATCATGTTATCGGCGCTGTCTCAAGTCAGCGTTAAAACTACACAGTTTTTAACCAGCATGCACTGCTTCAAGTCAGCAACCGGTCATTCTGTGCAGCGCCGTATGAAGTCAAACGAGCCTAATGATTATGTTTTGATGATGACAATTCTACTGCATAATTTATTCAAGCTGCAATGCATGCTGGGAGTCATAGATGAGTTTTGAATGGTGGTTTCCATGCATCATGCATCGTTTGATTGTCACCATTGTTAAGGGTCATATGCTGATTCTTGATGTCTGTTTTTTTAAAAGTACTCAAGCTGGAAGATCTCAAGCTGTAACATCACAGATTTAAAGTAAATGTGTTTCAGATGAGCAGGTTTCTGCCGTGTGATCGGACCTCAGCGCTGCACACACACTCCTGGCTCATCATGCCAGAGAAGTTCGCTGTAAGTTACGCCACTGAACATCACTGCAGGACTTCTCTGATCTTCCAGAGACATTATGTGGGCTTAGAAGGTAAGTGTCTCATCTTTGTACCTTTGTTCCCCATTTATAAATGCCCTGGATCAGTGTGTGTCAGTACTGGCGCTACATTAAAGATAAGTTAGCGGTTTGATATCTCGAACCTCCACAAGGAACCAAAGGTAAATGGTGTTTAATAAACTCAGAGTAACTCGCCGAAGTGTCCTGTGTGAAAGAGTGGTTATAGAGGTGATGGTCAAGCTACGATTAGGCATAACGTTAACATTTAATTAAATGCAAGTGTGTTATATATAATTACAATGCAACATGTACTGTATAGGATACCCTTTATGGTGACACTTTACTTGACATAAGACTGACACCTTCATAATCATGACATGACACATGAAGGAGGGTTTATGCATGTTTATGACAACTGTCATTAAGTGTCATTCGCTCAATTATGACATTTTTAATGCAAATATGACATTGTTTGAGATGTCTTTGCCATGATAACTTGACATAAACCAAAACATCATAACCTGTGCATAAGGTTACACTTTATTTTAAGGTGTCATTGTTACAGTGTAATAGTAACTAACTTACTATAGTGTTAGTAATTTACTGTATGGTAAGTACATGTAACATATGTAAACACTGTAAAATAAAGTGTTGCATAATACATAAATTGTATCAAATGGTTAAGTGCATGGTAGTTAAGGCCACCTAATATAAAGCGTGTCCAAAAAATAGAAAAGTATTTCCGAGGTCAAAGTTCAGCGTTAGACGAGGTTATTCTGGACGATGTTTCTCCAAACTCGTCAGAGTCGGTAATTACTGAAGGAAACTGTTTAATCAGATGATCTGAGCTGAATAATGAACATCCATCGGTGCTGTTCTCCGGGTCCCAGCGTGAAGTGATGACTTATTTAAGGATTCTCCATCGCTGGTGTGTGTGTGTGACGTGTGTGTGTGTGTGAGGAGCGCAGGACTATGATCAGTTCAAAGGCCTGAAGTTGACAGAGAATATTCCAGGCCGTTAAATGGGAGATTTCCCTCATCTCTCCTCCTCCTCCTCCACAGCTGAGACTGCTGGAAACCATCCGAAACTGCTTTTCACAATATGCATTATAGATCACAAGAGCGCGTGTGTGTCCAGACAGAAGAGTGTTAGCGTGATAAAAGGGAAGCGCTTCTGTTAATTGCACTCTAAAAAATGCTGGGTTGTTTTAACCCAATTTTGGGTCAAATATGGACAAACCCAAAATGCTGGGTTAAAAATGTAATGTAAAAATTTAACCCAACGGCTGGGTTAGTCCATATTTGACCGAAAGTTGGGTTAAAACAACCCAGCATTTTTTAGAGTGTGTGCTTCATGTTCAGGTTTTATACTTCTATTTAAGATTCCTACACTCTAAAAAATGCTGGGTTGTTTTAACCCAACTTTGGGTCAAATATGGACTAACCCAGCCATTGGGTTAAATTTTTACATTACATTTTTAACCCAACATTTCGGGTTTGTCCATATTTGACCCAAAATTGGGTTAAAACAACCCAGCATTTTTTTAGAGTGTACGCCTCACACCGCCTCTGTGTGTTTACATTGTTTTTAGTATTTGACGAATAGTTTTGATCAGAAGACTCACACGGTCCTTCAGTTCTGCTGATACTCATTAATGGACCTGTCAATCAAAAAACTGGAGAACCTGTGTGTCATTACACTCTTCATCAGTTCACGGTCACGTTCATGGTGATACTGCTTTATGACAGGAGTGTGTGTGTGTGTGAGTGAGAGAGAGTGTGTGTGTGTTGAACAAAAACACGGAAAAGGTCCAATATTCTTTATTTCAGAGATCTTTCAGAAACAGCGTACACACTTATCTTATTATTACCAGCAAGCATACGAGTAACATGTTTGTAAATTAAAATATCAAAGTAACATCAAAAATACATGATTACTTATCCTAAATTAATATGAACTATAATTTCTCTGCTTCACAAACAGAGATTTGCATGTATTTCATTAAAAAGAAAAAGCAGAAAATCATAAAAAGACATGATGTTTTACACATTTACATTTGCTATTACACTAAATTCTATGATGATTAGCAAACGACTAAAATATGTGAAGCTGAAGAACAATAGACAGACCATAAAACCCCGAACCCATTTAAGGTCCATTCACACCAAGCTCAATAATTATAATGATAACAATCAAGATATACAGTTGTTCTAAATATAAAAGAAAAGTACAGTCCACACCAGCTGTAATAATAATAATAATAGCACAGAGAAACAATATTGCTGGAAACTCTTTCAGAACGACTTTTCCAGCTAAACATCGACAGCCAATCAGAATCAATCCTGCTTTAAAGAGCTTGAGCATTTAATTAAAGCAGCATGCAACCACTGATCTATATTCACCTTATTTTCGACAATATGGCGGCGCGGTGGCTTCCATAGATGGTATAAAAAGTGGACAGAGCCATCTCATTGGAACTCCATTGAGACGAGTGAAGCCCGTTTTTGGCGAATTTTTGGCACTTCCGTTCCTGACGCACAGACTCAAACCGACTCAAACCGAGCTTGACGACGTAGATGTGACGTCAGCAACCCGTCTGTCTTCTAGTGGCTGTGGCATGAGAAATCTGAATTTATCATTTATTTATTTTATCTGAATCATTCCCTTCCGAAATTTGCAGAGGTGGAGAGTGTGAATAGGAGCTGTCCATGAGCAGGAGCAGGAGACACTTTTGCTAGGTATTCTGATTAATTATTTTGTCTCCACGTTTCCCCAATTGCGCGCGAGCTTCTTCTCCTCCTGTCCATACGGTAATCTCTCTACTGTGCGACAGAGAGTCGCGTGGGTATGACGCAATCGTTAGCCTACTTTTACAAAAAAAACTGCTTCTACAGGGCCATAACATAAGCTACACGGTAATGAAGCATTTTATACATTGTCGTGTTTCTATAGAAATAAATAAAGGACAAATGGGGTCTTCAAATGCCTCAGATGTAAAGTTATTCGCTGTCAAAGTGACGCCAAAATGAATGGGAGTCAATGGAAATGCTAACGCAAGTGAAGTTCTGCTACAAGATGGCGGCTCCCGCGAGGCTTCAACTTCCGGTTGATGGATTACCCCCTTGTCTAGAACGCCATGAGCTATCCAGTTAATTATATAGATCAGTGCATGCAACACACGCTTATAATAAACACAACCCCATCATCTGCTGGTATGGACAATAATATAGTTATAATTATCTTTCCAGTTATCGTTATTTGTGTGAACGGGCCTTGACAGAAGTAAGAGACAGAGCCTCTTCACCATCTCTCCTATCTTGTCCCTCCGATGTCCCACGTTTTCCACGTGTGCAGCAGTCATGAATACCCAATACGATAATTGTCAAAGCACTGAGGACAAAGATCGTGATATAACCTGAAACCTGAAAGACAAAGAAAAAAAAACATCAGCATATTGTAACAGTCACTTTGTGCATTTCTGGTAATCTGAGGTAAAATGAGAACTGCGCATGCACGTCGAGTGTCAGTTATAGATTTGACAGGTGCGGAGAAGAGATATAATAACCACTCTACCGACTTTTGTACTTTCTTTTATTTCCTTTTATATTGTGACCAGAGTTGGATGTTTGTTGGGATACTTTTTCTCACTCGATCCCCATGTATGCGGTGACTTTAAGGAATTTTATTAAGCACGGGGAAAATACGCCATCTCTCATCTCTCGCACATCTTTTCCTCAGACAGCTATTCCTTTTAAATCTCTGGGCAACATCTTAACGTTGCATTACAGTGTGTATGTTATAGGCTATATTTGGTACGAATATGTTAATGATTAGGATGTGTTGTGAATTTAAATAAAGAGGAAAAAAGTGTATAGAATGGTCTACTTTCTAGGGCTGAGTATTGACACAAATTTCACAATTTGATTCGATTTTGATTCGATTCAATATTGATTATTTTGGATATCAGTTACAATAAATGGCAAATTTTCTCAAGGAAATCAAATCTCTTAACTTGTAAACTATGGGAGTCTAGTTGTAGCCTACTAGACTTCATTAGCCTAATATGAAGGTAATAATGAACTGTTTTGTAGCTATACAAACACTTAAATTACACTTTTATTTATTTTTATAATAAGAAGATTATATGAAATATAAACATTTAAATGGTGCTGTCATAAAAACTTGCCAGATTTATTCAAATATGCATTAAATATTGAAGAACATTAAGATTATAATGCATATGTAATATGGTGTATATATTTAGCAAAATGCTCGTCTCTGGAGTTATTTTTTCTAGCTGACTAACGAGTTTATGTGGGTTTTCTGAGGTAAATATGACGATACATTGATTACAAGCTGTTTAACTGACGTCTTTCCACGGTTGAAACGCTGATTGAGCGAATCAATGTGACATGATACGGATTTGGATAAGTTGTCCTCTATCTTTAACACACTTTCAGATGCTCATTCATGTTTATTTGGCGCTGTGACTGGTATTATTAAGCCGGAAGAGAGATCAGCCCTGCTGCTTCTCCAGAGCGATCTCACGCCACAGCGCCAAAACGCTATTTATGTTTCTGAATTTCTAAAGAAAATGGACGTAATTTAAAAATTGAGACTTTGTTTCATATTAATAGTAACAAAGGACAAAGATTATTGCAATTTTTTGGATGCGCGCAGCCGCGATACAATGATCCATTCATTCAAATGAAACAGGATGACTAATCGATTCTTGAGATTTAAGAATCGATATTGGTTCGTAAAAATGAGAATCGATTAATATTGAGAAATCGATATTTATCACCCAGCCCTACTACTTTCTATTATAAGAATACTTTCATTGCTTAGAGCATCGGGAGGGGGAACTAGGCTACTTTCCTTTTTCTATCTGACTTATTTAGAGGTATAAAGAACAAATTTAATTTTCATTTAACGATATTATAATTACAGGACAAGCTCTTGTTTTGTGGTATTATCCCAGATAGCACAAGTCTATTTGATGTGATTTTACATCTGGAAGACATATTTTTAAGAGTGTTTGCTCATCTGCAATACTTCTATATGGACGTTTCCTGTCAGATGTCAAATAGATGTTTAGAAGATGTCTTTAAGATGTAATGACTTAGAATGCATGTTAAACTGACATCTATTTGACATCTGACAGGAAACGTCCATATGTGATTAACACTCAAGTCATTCAAGTCATCGTGTCTCAAGTCAAGTCAAGTCCCGAGTCTTTAACTTCAAAGTCAGAGTCAAGTCTCAAGTATTTTATTTTTTGTCAAGTCAAGTCGCAAGTCATAAAAAAAGCAACTCAAGTCGACTCGAGTCCAAGTCACAAGTCCCCATGTCTGGCAAATCATTTGACAGAAGTAAGAGACAGAGCCTCTTCACCATCTCTCCTATCTTGTCCCTCCGATGTACCACGTTTTCCACGTGTGCAGCAGTCATGAATACCCAATACGATAATTGTCAAAGCACTGAGGACAAAGATCGTGATATAACCTGAAGACAAAGAAAGACAAAGAAAAAAAAAACCATCAGCGTATTGTAACAGTCACTTTGTGCATTTCTGGTAATCTGAGGTAAAATGAGAACTGCGCACGTAGAGTATCAGTTATAGATTTGACAGGTGCGGAGAAAGAGATATAATAACCACTGACAGGAGACGTCCTATAGATGTATTGCAGATGAGCAAACACTCTTAAAAATACATCTTCCAGATGTAAAAATCACATCAAATAGACTTGTGCTATCTGGGATAGCTTACTTACCTGAGATTGTAGAATATGTTTGCGAGTCAACTCTCGTAGCTCCATCTCATTTCTCATCCCTTCAGTGGGTTTACACCAAGACCTGTTGAGCTCCTTGTCAAACACATAAACCCCCTTCCAGTCTGTCATGACACATGCAACATAATCACCATTGAGTAACAAGATGATGGCCCACATTACAGGTGGAATCAGACAAGATACAAAAGCTTTAGGACAGTTCTCGTGAGTATCATCATCAGCAGCACAACAACGACTGCATCCATGTTTAAAAGGTCTTAATAGGATGTACATTAAGGCAAAGGTAAAAAGAGAAGGTCCAATGAAGATGAAGACTGTTAGTGGTACACTCTGACCACATGGACATACAAATTCTAATTCAATCAGCTTCTCCAGTCCGAGTAACAAAAGGCTCAATGGAAAAGAGCTGAAAACAGCAGTTTTGGACAGGTATTTATGAAGATCTTGTTGAAGCATCTTGTGAGGGAAGTTTGATGATGCACTTAGCGGCTGCTTTCTCTTATGGTCTGGGGAAATGTTCGTAGTCCGTTCACAAGGTCTTTAAAGTAGGAACAGATCTCCTTTAAAATGAAGAAGATAAATTGAATGAGAATGAGTAATTTTCTTCAACAGTACAGCACACTGTGTAACAGACGGATTTTCTTATAATTACTGATTCAAAATTCATGCAATGAACTTCTTCAAGCAATGCCATCCCTTAAAGCTACACTGTGTAACTCTTTTAGTTTATTCTTAGCTAAAAACACACTTTCTCTCCTTTCTGGTGCAAAGGAGAGAAGGAAGTGGAGACGGAGACACAGGGGGTTTCGGCAGTGGCAATATTCACATCAGTTTATTGCTCGAAAGGACAAAAATATTTGTGTGAAATGTAGACTATACTCCAGTAAACCCTAAGGTTATTACTTGTTACATTAGAACAAAATATGTGGATATAAAAACATGTATATAGGCTATGGAACCAAATAAACAATCCCTATTTTCTAATTTCACTAAACTTTTCATTAAGTTTCGTGCACATTTTTTAAAACATAGATCTTAGGTTCATTTTGTAAACATAAATAACTGATATACATGCGCAAACTGGGTGCCGTTGCGGAGATGTAGGCTACATGCTCGGGCAGATTCGGCTTCTTGAAGTCGTTCATCCTTCCCAGACAGCAAACTGACATTGAATCAACGTGGAAACGACGTCTCTCATGACATTGAAACAACGTTGATTTGCTCGTCGAATTAACGTTGAACCAACGTCAGACGCGGCATTCTTCAAAGCTAAATGAAATCGAAAATTGGTTTGCTTTCATAACGTTGAAACAACGTTGATTTCAAGTTGATTTTCAGTTAGTTTTGAACGAATGACGCGTCTGACGTTGGTTCAACGTTAATTCGATGAGCAAAACAATGTCAGATCAACGTTGTTTCGATGTCATATTTCCACGTTGATTCAATGTCAGTTTGCTATCTGGGTCGGATGCGGCACCGCGTGCGCTGTTACAAAAAAGCCGTGCACTTCAGGGGTCTTGCGCGACCGCCCATACCACAATGACATAATTTTCGCGCTCATGCGGATGCGTCAACTAGCCTATAAACAAGGCTCGGAAGTCTTGGATTACACAAAACGAAATTGTTGCAGGGTTCATTGTAGAAGACAAGCTTCCCCTGTCGACCATTAATCCCCAGGTTTAGAAAAATGCATTTTAAATTAAGATTAAGAATTTTATGGGAAAAAGTGACCTTTTATTTTATTATTTTTCATTGGCCTCTTCATTTTTTAGTTTTTTATTGCCATTAGTCGAATAAAAAGCTGTTTTTGTTCTCAGGAGAAGAGTTTTATTCTCCTAAAGCCTGTGTTTTGACACTTTGTGTGTTGAACCCCATTTTAAAATGACCCCACCATAGCCTCCTTTATCCTGTTATTTGTGAATTTTACAGTGCGGCATATTTATTTGTGCAGACAGGGATATTGTTCTTTCATGCCATTTTGTATAAATTTGTACGGTAAAGTGATGATAGGGCAAAAAGTGATGATAGGAAGTGAAACGGAAAAATAAAGTAATGAGTAGTGAAGTTACTTTTCCAACGCAGTAAGTAAAGTAATCTCATTACAATTTACAGAAGTAACTAGTAACTAATTACTTTTGAGTAACTAGGATAAGATGCAAGGATAATCAAAGTGGTTCTGGTAGGTTGGTATACAGTGACCAGCTCGGAAAGATATGCCGGGGCCAGACCATTGATGGCCTTAAAAACAAACATCAAAACCTTATACTCCACCCCAGACCGTACCGGGAGCCAATAGAGTGAACAAAGAACTAGATCAGCACGGGACAAGAATGATTTCACCTTACTGAGGAGCCTTAGCTGGAAAAAGCTAGTCTTAACAACTAAACCAATCTGTTTGTCAAAATGCAATCTATTGTCGAAAGCCACACCCAGGTTATGAACAGTGGATGCAAACTAGGGCGTGAGAGGGCCAACACAGTAAGGTGAGTCCAGGATAAATAATATATACTCGGTCTTACCTTCATTTCAATGAAGAAAGTTTTGAGAAAGCCACTGTTTAATGAATAACTCCTATTTCAAAAAACAGTGGCATGTTCCTTTAAATGCTACTTAAATATGCAAATGAATTTGTAGTGTACTTAGCATAAAATAAATGTATGTCAAATACATTTTGGTACATTTATTTATCACTGTTGTACGCTTCTGGCTCTAAATATATGCTCCAAAATTTTTTTTATTTATTTATTTTTTTTTTTTCAAATGTATTCAGCTGATTTTTTTATATATTTAGAAGAATATCAGTAACCAGACAGTCTCATTGACTTCCATAGTATGTTTTTTCCTGCTATAATGGAAGTCAATGAGACCAGAAACTGGTTACTGATATTCTTCTAAATATCAGAAAATCGGCTGAATGGATTCGAAAACTGTGAAACACAACTGTTTAACTCTGGGGGAGTGGTAAAATGAGCCTATTTCCAAAAAAAGTGGAGTATCCCTTTAAGATTGTATAAAACCTTTAGGAACATTAGACAAGACTATCACAGAAATCTCCCAAAATCAAAAACTGTGTCTATAACAACCTGTTTTGCAATACCAAAATAGCTTTTATTCTCTGAAAATAACAGAACAAACTTAATGCACATACCTGTAACATACAACAAACTTTTAGCAATGGAAATGCAAGGAGTTCAAACTGAAATTTTGAAAAGCACGCTGTGTATTATTAGTAGGCTACATCAACTCTACACTCTAAAAAATGCTGGGTTGTTTTAACCCAACTTTGGGTCAAATATGGACTAACCCAGCCGTTGGGTGAAATTTTTACATTACATTTTTAACCCAACATTTCGGGTTTGTCCATATTTGACCCAAAATTGGGTTAAAACAACCCAGCATTTTTTAGAGTGTAATGTGTAATAGAAATGTGTTTTAGAGTTGTTTTCAATAAAGATCACTAACTGATGTGTCATTCAGATCTGGTATTTGCACATCCCCTGACTTTTCAGTGAAGACATGTTTATTTCAAAACCTACATATTGTTTCAAAGCAGAAAATGTATGTTTCAGTGGTACCCTGTGAATAGGGAACAGTAAATCAACAGAGCTAAATATCAGCCAGAGGTGACTGTCAAGAAGGAAGAATACGCCACTGGTGATGAGGTATAGGAAAAATTATCAATTTTGGTACTGAAGAAGACATCATCATAGGTGCAGATATCAAATATCAGCTTGTCTTATGCTCTCATATGTGTAGTTTGGTCATCGTCAATCATCTTTAAATATTCTGTTGAATTTGATTTATTTTTAACATTTATTTTTAAATGTAATGACTTACCTCTTTGTGGCTCTGTGTTATTCATCACCATTTAAAGGTGTCTGTGCACGTCTCGACAGGAAAGAGACCGGATGTGTTCATATGATTAAGTTCTCAGTAAACAAGGTTGAGGAGTTCAACAAAAAAATGTGAGAAACCACATTATGTCTATTACGTCTATGACTGTACAACGACCATGTTCTCCCTCAAGCAGTCCAAAGCAGATTACAAGACATGCTGGATAAAAATATAAACTGAAAACATTTGATGTGATGGAGACAAAATCTCACTTGCAAGTTGCAAGTAAATTTCACAATTAATTACAAAGAAACAGCCTCTCAGCATTACAAAAAGCTTAATGAGAAAGAGGAGAAAAGCTTGCACTGTACTTTAGAAAACCAAACCACACATCCTGTTGTTATAACCCACAAAATGTCACCTAAATCAACAGCTACACACTTCAAGCTTTATGACTCTAATAGTTACATCTACGAGTGCAAATATACTCAACACATGTACCTGAAATAACTGGATAGAAATAGTTGTTTATTTAAATGTTCTTTATTTATTCATATTTATTAATGTATGTGACACACACGCGCAGGGGCGATTCGAGGATTTTTTCAACTGGGGGCCACAATTATTACAGAGGGGCCATTATTATTTTGTGTATTTATGTAGAACTGTAGATATCCAAATCAGTTCAAGTTCAGTAAGCTTTAAAATCAGCAATAAACAGTGATACCTTTTAATAGCAGTTATGTACTGCTCTAAATCAAAACAATAAAATACAATTTATATTAACTTTTCACTTTACAAAAGTGATAGAAAAACTGTAATAAATAAAATAATCCAATGTATTAGTGTCACTCACAAATAATAATAGAACAGCCTTATTTATATAAATGCATAATTATATTAATCATTCATATACTAAATACACAATTAATGAATTCATATAACTGTAATAAAATTGTATACAATACATATTTTTTCATCCTATTCAATTTGCATTTCAGCAGTTGCAGTAAATTTGCATTGATGAATAGACCAAATCTGCTTATTTCAAGGAAGGCTAATTAGTCTTGAGCATATTGATTGTAAAATATCATAAACACTTTGTTAGATAGCTACTTTTTCAAAAAGGCATGCTTTAGTTTTGACGTAAAATATGTGGATCATAGAAACAGTTTAGAAAGACTTAATTAATCCAGTGTTATTTTAGTATTAATTATTTATTTTGCTATTTAATCATGCATTTTTATTTATTTATGATTTTTTTTTTTTTTGAGAATGTTTCTGGATGCAGGGATTAAATTGACAAAATATTCTTCTGACTGAATTTTTTTTTTTTCAGGCCAAGTCATATTCCTGTAACTTTATTTAAATAGTCGAGACCAATAGCGTTTTAAGGGGAGATGTTTTAAACCGATCTAATATTGCCAGTTTGTGTAATTTAAAAGCTATTTTAATCTATGAAAAACAATTACTTATGCTATCTTGACAAATAGGCCTAATCAACCATCAACTTTTCAGTGCATGTTTTTGTTTATCTTATAAGACCAAACAATGCTAAACTATTTTAATATAGTTTGTTTCATGCCAAATCGTTTTTTTGCTGAGGGAAAAGTGAAGTTTCATAACTTTATTTAGGCCATTTACAATAAAGGTGAAGTTTATGAAAAAATAAGACTTAAAAAAAAACACGAATATATGTTAGCCTATATTGCATCCCATGAACAGAATCAAAAAGCAGTCAACCCCTTCCCTTTAAAGGAAATACCGGAGCGATTGCGCCTTCAGTGTAATTTGATCTAAACCTCAGGTGACTGCTTCACTTCTGCTTCACTTCCTTCGATCTCCTCCTCTCTGTTGCCGGCATTTCCTTCTCAATCTCTCGTGATGCTGGACGTGACATCTTGATTTTTTCAATGACTGTCAAATTTGCGATCTCGCTGACTCTATTTGTTTGCCTTGCGTGTGTGCCGCTGTCATGTCAGTATTGCAGCAATATATGCACTTGTATCATGGATAGATGCACTTTTATGGACTTTCAAAACAGAAGCAACCATTTACAGCCTATATAACGCTTAGAAGGGCTCCTGTTTGTGACATTGATAGAGATCTGCAAGAATGATATGTACTTATGAGTATACCAGGGTATACATTATCCAAACCACTAGAGGGAGCTCTTTCCAAGGTCTGCTCAATAACACACACTGGCATAATTCTCGTTGTGTGTGTGCATGAGACCAAGACAATCTTCTGTTGGTGAACAGTTGTATTTTTATTCAATAATCTGACTTTGCATCCATGCATTTTATTGCCATTTGCTCGTGTGATTGTAATATATATCCCTGTAGGCTAGTATTTTAAATGATATAGTTGATTCTATAATAAACAACTATATAAGAGATCATTTTCGTCTTTCTCCGGTGTGGTGAAGAGATGGGTCCCACCTTAGGACCCCATGCCTGATCTAAATATGTTCTCACGATAACTTGATAAAAGCAGTTTGTTGCCATCAAGTAATATGTTTATTTGTTTAGCGCTTTTCAAGTAATGCGTTTATTTGTTTAGCGCTTTTCATAGTAAGTCCGCGAAATTGTATTACTGTTATTGTGTCATGAAATGTAATTTTAAGAGTTTTTAAGTCGAGAATATAGTTGTTTAAAGCTCAAATCTGTGGTTTATTTATAAACGTTGCGCCTTTTTAAAACATTGTTCTGACGTTTTCGGAGTTGTCAGAACCAGGGATCAGCAGCACATCTAGCCCGCCTGGAACAGCCTTAACTCGGCTAGTCATTAAGGGACTCTTGCTGCGTTCAAGTCATCTCGTATAGATCGTAATTACGAGTTGAACGCACTTGAACGCCACCACAATGTCGTAAATACCAGTGGGGAGCTCGGGATTTTCCCGATCTGTACGAGTTGGGGGCGTGTCAGTGAGAAACGTTCATTCAACGTCTGTTGACTGGTAAATTTTAATTGAATTTCAATGTTTACTCATTGACATTGTAAGGCTTTTTCATTTATAAAGCAAGCTCTCTGTACAAAATACGATATCATTATAATATAAAAATTATACCTAATGATTGGCTTCATAAGCTAATAAAAAAACATAACCTGATGCGCATTCTTTGTTTCTTCATTTTTCATTTTTTTGTTTCGCATTCTTCATTTTTTTATTAGTAGAGTTAATAAATCTTGCTCTATTTTCGTGTAATTCATTAAAAGAAGGTACACCGCCATTTTGCTCCGACGAAACTGACTTGAACGCACCTCACGTCGTAAACACGACTTCCCACCTCGTACGTACGAACTTCCCAGAAAGACTTGAACGCAGCATCTCGGAACTCATGGCTGCGTCCATAACCGCATACTCAATGAGTAGGTACTTCATTTCAATAAGTACTACTTACTCAACGAGCGCTAAAATCTCGTTGAGTATGAATGAGAACATCTGCCATGTTGACGTTATCATGTGACGTGTACGTATATGTCTATGGTGACCTACTACGACGCGTTGTCATCACATCACAAGCGCAACAGCAAAAATAAATGAACAACGACACGTTTATAATTATCTTGACATTGATGAAACTTGCTCATTCTGTTGTGGTATTGTTGCCTTTAACTTAAGGTTGATTTAAGTTGTTATATTTTAAACCCTACTAATGTGACCCACAGTGTTATTCTTATAACGATATTTTTTTATTATTAAGAAACCCCCAAATCGTCACCTCTTGAATATATGTTGTTAATTTCTTTATTTTATACCCAAAAAGTTTCTCCTTTAAGTTTTCCTCCTTTTCTTGGTGAATTTACCTCGTTTCATCCCTCAGACTTATAACAACAAAACAACATTTTTTTTAATGTATTATGAAGAACTATTTAAAGATATTTAGCCTTGTTATTGTTCCTTTTTCCTGTGTATAAATATTATATTATGATGTCATATTATGATGTACACAAGCCAATGATCTTTGTTTTCTGTTTTGTCATTTTGACTGTTATGGTATCTTGTATGTAATACATTTATAAGTTTAAATTATATGATTAACAGGTGCACTAACACTTCATAACATCAGTGACTCGACAGCACAACCCAGAACAGTTTTCCTCTGCGTTTGTAATGTCTGCACAAAGGAGACGGGCAGCTGCTCGAAGATCTCTTTTGGAGAAAACTGTTGATTTTATACTCGAAAAATGTAAGTATCACTCCTTAAAAATTAATAGTACCTCAGAATGAATTGCATTGTTAGCCCACCCCAAAACGTATACAAAATAATACGTAATATTAAATGCTGACCAATACTTAATTATATAACTTTTTTTATACTAAAAATATAATTTAATATAACAAGCAAAATGTAATTTGTTTTGTCATATGACAGTTATGCATGAATACATTTCTATTCATAAATGCAAATGCAGTGCAACATCTCAATTGTCAGTCAATCAATGAATTAATGGATACATTAATTAAATAATTAAATTGTATATACTGACAACATTAATAAAAATGAATAAATGAGTAAAAGAACAAATAAAAGTAACCATCACAATAAACAATAAAAGTCAACAACACATGAAACAAAGCTTTATTCAAACTACAAACATGTATTTACAGGCGCTGAACACCACATCCTACTGCCGACTCAACACAGCGGTTCCCATTCTGCGGCTTTATTCTGATGAATTCACCAGAGGTGACCGTGCCTTCGTCCCGGAGCTTGTTGCTGCGCTGCGCTTCACAATATGAGGCAATAAGGGCAGGTGGAGGGACTTATAAGGGCAGGTGGAGAGATAGAGGGTCTCGTAAAGGCAGGTGGAGAGATGGAGGAACTCATAAGGGCAGGTGGACAGATGGAGGGTCTCATCCATGGCACCACTTCCAGGATGCAGCTCTGGGCTCCTCATCCTCAGTGCTCACACCAGTCTGCAGACATTTCAGATCCTACAAAAATGCACAAACATTATACAAAAGCAGTCATTTTAACACACAATGTCATTTGATTTATGTATTAAAAATTACCTTACTTTATATTTGAGTAAAATCCCTAAAACAAATGCTGCCATCATCTTTCCTTGCAGGTCCTGCTCCACCACAAAAGCTCTGCAGCAAATGCACAGAAATCAAGAATCAGAAAAGTGTTGTAACTTCTCGACTTGAATTTACAATAATTCAAATAAACTACAATTTAAGATTGAATAGATTTTGTTACCCATTTCTGTAGTATACTTACTCAAAGCCTTTGATGACAGCATTCAGCATCATGAGCCGGTTCTTCTGTCCCTGTAACATACGATTCACATTACGAGTTCAACACTGAATTTACATGCGGAGGTTGATATGTTAACTCACTTTTAATCCAACTTAAATGTTCCTCAATATATCAACACTAATAAGGAACAAATTAAATATAACATATTTAGTTACTTTATAGATTTGTTTATTTACCTTATTTACAGCACATTTGTCTAATGTAAGTAGTGTCAGTGAATTATCCTTCATAATAGCACACATAACGTTACATCACTCAGATGTATTTTTTATTTTGGGATGTGCAATATGCAATACTTAAACAATATTTTCATTTCAGATGTAAATAGACATTTTAAGTAAGCGTGTTTAAGATGTAACGTTATATGGTCATGTAAATCCATTTTAGAAACTTAACGTTACGTGTAGCCTACTTACTGGAGCTCCCCTGTTTAACTAACTAACGTTAGCTATAATAAAACATGTGTTTACAGCAAAATCACAATACTAGTAGTTTAGTAGTTTAACACATACGATTTAAACACAAGGAACCGTGTTTACTCACATTTGAAAACCCCTGCTTCGCTGATCTCCGCGATGTTGATAATGACGAATGCTCGCCCGTGGCCTCCTGGGATAGAAGAGTATCCATCCGATGAACACATTAAAAAATCTGGGCGAAAGCAGGAGATCATCCGGGAACTTCTCGCCTACTCTTTTATGAGTACTGAGATTTCGGACATACTACTCCTTTCAAATACTTTTTTCCCCTACTCTATAGTACGAAAGTAGGGATACGAAAGTAGGGATAAGTGTGCCGGAATCTCGCGATAATTAGTACGTCACTCTGGTAATTCTCGCCTACTCTTTTATGGATACTAAGGATTCGGGCATACTTATTCGCTCGCCTACTGCTTTTTCCCTACTATATAGTAGGGAAGTATGCGGTTTCGAACGCAGCCCATCTCTTCACCACACCGGCGACGTAAAGCGAAACCGGAAGTGTCCGCCCGCACACTCACACGGACGGATCAGAAATCCAAAATGGCGGCCACGTGTAACAAGCGGAGATTCTACACTGATGACTGACTGTGTTGCTGCTACTGTTATCTTTTTTACAGGTAAGATTACTTAAGTCAAATGGGTCCACGAACAGTTATGTTTAGTATTTGAGTATTTAGGATTTATGTTAAGTAGTAAATTTTGAGCACGAAATTGTTATTACCCGTGGATAGAGCGTGATCAGAAACAACGCGGCAATGAAACTTCGTATGTGTAACGATAATTGGTATTATGCAATGGAGATGGAAAGACAGTATGCACAGTACTGTTATGTAGAGGTTGTGTGATATTGATGGGTAAAATAATAGTTTAAGTGACGCGAGTTCAGTAACACACGTGGAGTTCGCGGGTGTCCGCCATTTTGCCCAAGTTGCACGCAGCGGGGACATTAGAGTTAAAGGGCAACTCCTAGGGCTGTAACGATACACCAAACCCACGATTCGGTTCGTATCACGATTTTTGACCCACGATTCGATTCGTATCGCGATTCTATCACGGGGGCGAGGCTTGGGCTGAAAAATAGATTTTGAGAGGAAAACATATACAGGTATTTTTATTAAATAACATTTGGAGAAACGTATAGAATCTGAACACCAAAAAAAAAAACAATAATAACTATGCAAATTATTAAACTAAACTAGGCAGTGTAGGCTGCTGCTTTTGGGTTGTTTTCTGTGCTCCAACTATATATTTTTTATAAGGCTATACCCTTCTTGTTTTGAACTTCATGCATGTGTATTGCATGTTAAACAAGTATTTAATGTAATGATAACAAGACTGTTTTATTTTGGTGATGATGTGTAGCCAGATATATCAGCAAAGCGCGTGCGATTACCTGCGTCTATCTTTGAAGTCGTGAAAAGGTTGCCGTGTACCATCATTTTAAAGCCACAAAATGTATTTTTTCTGCTTTAAAAATAGCAAAAATAACTCTATCTATGTTATATATTTCTATTAGATGTGTACTTACATTATCCCGACCGTTTCCACCAACTTTCAAATACGGAGAAATTTATAGTTTAATTCGAAGACACAGGACGTTTCTTTATTTCCGTTTCGTCGCCCGTGTATGGCGTCATATAACCTTTGACTCCTCTATTTTCTCTAACTTCCTTGCGGAACCCGGCGAAACCGCCAAACAAAAAGGGGAACACTGGACTACCACAAATAAAGCAAAGAAAATGACTAAGAAAAAAAAAGTAGTACGTATTTTTATGTGTGTAAATCACGTGCCCGCTCACTCTTAACAGACCCACTGTCCCCGGTGCTGCTCGCGCATAAAGCGCTCCCCGTTGTTCACGGTAACCGTGTCGTCTCATACAAAACAGCCAACTGTTGCTGTTAGCGAGCCGCGCACATTGAATACTCATAGGGGTCAGGCTGAGAATGTACGTGCCTGCTTCAGCGCGCTCACGCTTACTAAATAAACGCCTCACCTCCGGCGCCGTGCACTCGCTACATTCCCTTTAGCCTTTAGCACATAGTGGATGCATAACGCAAACCCAGTCAAACGTTTGACTGCAGTATCTTATGAGCTTTATAATCCGGTGCGCCCTATATATGAAAAATGTTCTAAAATAGGTCATTCATTGAAGGAGCGTAATATAAATATTTATATTTGTCTGTATTGTAGTTATGGACCACGATTACGCTTTGCCTGCACGTTCTGCTGCTACAGCTAGCTCCTTAGCTAAAGCTCAAACATACGGGTGAAAAATATGACCCGAGAAGGGTTTGGGACAGGAGAAGCATGACACAGGTAAACATTGGGGTTGCATTTAAAGCTTCTTGACAAGCTAAATCTACAGAGAGATGGCGTATATCCGTATATTTTGTGAAACGATGATGTCATGTCATGAGCTGAGCTGGTTGTCATTGACAGCGACAGCAACTCCCGTGAGCCCACGCTCTTTCCCGACGTCATCAAAGTAGTCTTTTGTTATTATTTTAAACGAGTGACCCCTGTTGGCCAAAAATCGCATACTGTACATTTAATGTTCACGTCACAGGGATTTCCCATAAATGCACGCCTTTCAATGCGCATAGACGCTGTTTAGTTTCGGTTACAGTGGTTACTGAAAATGTCATCGTTTTTGTCCACATTGTAAACTTATTTATATAGCAACAGATACATATAAATTAAATAAATAAATGGAAATTCCATAACCGACAGAACTTTCACAGAAGAACGCGCCAAAGAGAAATGTACTTTTCATACAGATTACATAAGCAGAGAGCAGTCTGTTTTCTTTCGTTTTGAATTGTTCTTTTTAAAAGTAGACATTTCAATATATATTTATTTCTCAGGTCTATAAGCTTATAGGGTTAAGATTCATGAGACAAGCTCCAAATACAGGCGCCGGCACCTCAATGTCGTGATTATCTGTATGATAGCTATATTTTCTTCTTATTTATTAAATCCAGGCAATTGGTTGATGAAACATTTATTAAAATTGAGATACAATTAATAAAAAACGAAATTCAATTTAAAGTAAGTCTTTGTGCTTTCTATTAGAATTCTCTGAAAGATTAAGTGCCGCTTCCAGAGAACTGTCACGACATTGTTTTTTTTTTTTTCTCCAACACGAAAAATAAAACAAAGTAAATATTTTATGTTCTGGGGAGAGCTAACCCTTCATCCGGTGGGCAGCCTAGTATTTATTTTGGTTTGTACAGTGTAATTTACAGAATTATAAAAAAATATAGGCTATATTTTTGCTACCTAAATATTAAAGATGTTTTGTGTCGCGTCCGTGTACGCGTGTGTATTTCCTTCATATTAAATATAAAATGCAAGTGTAGACTTGTATTTTTCTAATGTGTGGACGTACTGGATTTTATTAAGGGAGTAGGCTATGGATATATAAACAGAAGTGTCAATATATTGGTATTAAATGCATTTTCTGAGAATGTATTATTTTGATGGATTTCAGTTTTGGCTAATTTAACCTCAACTAGTTTTGTGGTGTAGGTCTACATATTTTATAATGTTAACTTCAAATAATATAAATAGTAATTCAAAGATAGCATTGGATCTGGATGGGAAAGATAACTGGGAGGTGGAAGGGGTGTATCGTGATTCTGCCATCTCACATCGCGATACAGTATCGTGGACCTGAGTATCGCGATTTCGATTTTATATCGTATATGTTACAGCCCTAGCAACTCCACCCATTTGCATTAATCTTTCCATTGTTAGAAATAGGGTTGTAACGGTATGAGATTTTCACGGTATGATAATCGTCTCAGAAAATATCACGGTTTCACGGTATACGTGAAACTCAAACGAAGTGATTTGCTCAATAATGATATAAAAGAGTCGTGAAATGTGACATAAGAGAACATTAAAGTGTAATGTGTTATTTAGAGTAAACAAGTCATGCTGAGAAAGAGAATGTATGTACTTTGGAAAGTGTTTAACAGACAAAGGGAAATGTATAGGTTCAAATTAAGTTTAACGAGGGTTATTTGTTATTTTTGATATGGGCGAGATATACTGTATGTTCACATGTTTGATTTGCAAACTGTATGTTAATTTAGGTTAGTGAGCAACAGGGAATGTTATAATGAGCAATTATTAAATGTCATACTGAATGTGAGAATGCGCACAATATAGCAGTTTATGCAGAGACGAGCAGATAACACACCAAATTGAGATGCTCCACTGATGATTGACTGTGTACTGTTAAATCTGTCTTGCAGGATTGCATGCAAAGCCCCAATATAACATGTGTTGCACCAGAAACGACGTCTGCTCCTTTCTAGATGTGTAACATAGTTAGAAAATTAACTATTGATATCGGCGAATTACAATGTTTGATAAAGATGGGTTTCATTAGTCTTTATGTTCCTGCAATTTTACTGTATCATTTGAGAAATAATATTTTAACATTAGACCACTTTTATTCTTTCAGTATACAGTCTGTAACAATCTGTTTCTAGCAGCAAAATGTCAGTGCATTTTAAAATGTCAGTGCTATTGTTTTGTCTCAAGATGCACATTAGTAATGTTTTTTTTTTTGGAAGGACCACACTTGCGGTCTTTGCACTTGTGTACTTGCACGATGTAGGTATTTCCTGCGTTTAGCCCAAGTGTTCAAGTAGGTGTGATGACTAGAACTTTTGATTACCCAATGGGACACACTTATAGTGACACAAAAATGCAAGTGTTTACAGAGCTTTATTTAAATTTTTAAATCAACAATGTCTGGTTAGTAGTCCCAATGTAACAAAAGGCATAATTAAAAAATATGGTGCTTTTAATTAAGTGATTTAAAAAGCAGCTGCAAATGTACAAAATACACATACCATACTCATCTTTGCAACATTATAATGACACTTTAACAATGTGTTTTTCTACCAAATTACATGTAAAATGTAGTTCATTTAACTTGCAGTGGAATGTTTTCCTCATCATCTTGTGATTTCGGGGCATGTGAGTTCCCGCACCTAATGCATGATAGGATATGCTCCAATGCGGTATTCAAGATAGTGTACATTTAGTGCGTGTTCAGGGCATTGCGCGGATAGTAACAATCGGTTTTGAGTGTAGTTCACCCAAAATGAAAATATGCAAAAAAATTCAAGTTTATAGAGTTTTAGTGTCGGTGGTACTACATTAAACTACTGTATTATGTTGAGTATAATAAAGCAATGAGGGGATACTTGTCAGTCCTGATAATGCCAAATGTCCTATGTTACCAATAACATTGCAAGCATATTCATCTAAATATAATTCTGTATTTTCAGCTTCAGAATCATGAATTCTTTTTATTCCGGTGTCTGTGGTCCTGTGCATTGGTTTCCCAGCACCAAGTCCAAACCTTTTCATTTCCACTCCCAATGTAATACCAAATTTAGCATTTTAATCAACAGTAATTTCTTTGTTTACCTTTTACCATATGTCTTGCAGTATCGCAATATGATTCGATATTCGGAGTTCACTATTATGATATATATCGAATCCTAACATGAGGGTATCGTTACACCCCTAGCCCAAAAGCTACTTAAATGCCCTAATTGATCAAAGGCCTATTCCTGGCTTAATCCAAGCCCTGTCTGTGAAATCAGACCTTTGAGATTAATTAACTTAAAAGTTACTTTACTAGATAGAAAAGGTGGGCATAAACATTTAAAATGTGTAAATTAGTATAAAAACAAACTCAGTATGTGTTTTCTTATTGATTTTGCCAGATCTCCTCCTTCAGTGATGCTCCTCCTCCTCCAGTGAAACTCCTCCTTCAGTGAAGCTCCTCCCACTGCAGTTCACCAATAAACGCTGGAATATTCCCCTCAGCTACAAGTGAAGACGAGCATCAAACCATCAGGAAGAGCCAACACAAACACAGAGTTTATTGAAGGACACTGAGAACATGAGATCCAGAACACTGCAGAATGAAACATACTGAAGAACAAAGAGGTTGGTGTTAATTCTTGATTCTTTGTTTAAGGCACAGTATGTAAGTTTCGCCACTAGAAGTCGCTTATTCTAAACAAAGGCATAGCTTGATGATGCTGTGAATGAGCGTGGAATCATTGGAGGTCTCCATCCGACCACCGCTTCGTAAGGGCGACCGGCCCCCCGCCCACTGACCGGTCCCCTCGAACCCACTATTTGTCCAATAACCCACTATATTTACCAAACGTCCCGTTACCACTCCCAGGCCATGCTTCCATCCCACAAACCCACTATTTGTCCAATAACCCACTATATTTTTTAAAGTTTTTCCGCAGTTCATGCAATAAGCTGCAATTGGACGCGATCCCACCGGCAATCTATTGAATGGGGATTTGGGTAGTGTTTTTTTTTGTGGACATTTTAATTAAAGTTCCTGTCATGATAAAAACTATTTTACTGCACTCAGCTAGGGCCCCTGAGTCCGTAGCACCAAGCGCCGTCCCATAATTCCACCGTCCACGAACCCAATGGCATAAATGCTACGTGGGATCTCAATATCTCAGCTCTGGAAGGGTCTAGAACCTCCATTTTTGCACTCAGGTCTAAATCCCATGGCCCTCTATCAGAATCCAGAGTTTCAAGAAGATTGGAGAAACTTATTTTTTCGCACCGAAAAAAAAAAACGACAGGGGTACCACTGTCGTTTTTTTTTTTGGAGTCGAAATTTTGAGTTTCTCTGATCTTCTTGAAACTCTGGATTCTGATAGAGGGCCATGGGATTTAGACCTGAGTGCAAAAATGGAGGTTCTAGACCCTTCCAGAGCTGACGTATTGAGATATTTATAATGGCATAAATGCTAAGTGGGATCTCAATATCTCAGCTCTGGAAGGGTCTAGAGCCTCCATTTTTGCGTTCAGGTCTAAGTCCCATGGCCCTCTATCAGAATCCAGAGTTTCAAGAAGATTGGAGAAACTTATTCTTTCGCACCAAAAAAAACCACAGGGGTACCACTGTCGTTTTTTTTTTGGGTTGAAATTTTGAGTCATAGGCATAGGCATCTGATATAGGCAAGGTCTGCTCTCTCCCACGCACATTTACTGCTTTACCGTTAACCGTTTTATACCTCGACGGTTTATTTGCCAGGAGTTATTGTTCGGCTTAAGCAAAATGTGGGTTTCTATTATACTCCAGCGGCAAAGCACAGCTAAAGCCTTTAATATCCATTTATGAAGATATTCATTTCATATTCAGCGAAATTCATGAGGTAGAAAATAGGGCTGAACGATTAATTGCATTTGCGATAAAATCGCGATATGATGAAACGCGATTTTGTAATCGCAAGAGCTGCGATTACACTGGTCACGTGACACGCGAGAGAAAAGCAGTCTGCAAGATAAAAGCATCAACTTGCCACGCTACGCGGTTTGGCGTTCAGAAAAGAACAGTTTATTTTTAATGTATGTGATATTGTGTTATTTATTCTCTCCTCAACAATCCTGGATCGATTCAGAGAATTTCAGAATCGAGTCTGAGCTTAGTTTTTAAACACAGATGCGTGATGACGCTGCGCGTGCTTTAGAAACGAGCCTCACTCGCTCTCTCTCTTCCTCACTCACACACACGACACCGCTCGAACCTTCCGAAACATAGTAGCGTTATTTCATAAAGTTCGGGATTGAACCGAATTACAAGGACATTCGCGGGCTTCATTGAACAGGTTTTGCCGCTTTGCTTGATGTTATAACGTTACACTTGCAGTGCGCGTTCTCTCCCGTGGGAATTTTCTTTACAAATGCTTCACAGAGGCATTATTTATGTCTTTTGGAATGCAGTTGGCTTATATATTAAAACCATGAAAATCACTGAGAAGGCTGATTTCATTTTAAAATACTAACGCGTGCTTTGTGAAGAGCGCTCGTGCACGCGGCCGTAAGCGACTCATTGGTTAAATGTACTTGCATGTCAAAATGCTTTTATGACGCGAAATTAATGTGAACACGGTCAATTATATCTTAAACCAACAGGACAAACCACATTTACAATTTCAAAAGAGATATATGCATTAGTGTGAATGCAGCTTATCGTATCTAAACTGAGGGGAAATCACTCCAGCTCTTGAATGAAAAACATTCAGACAGCCTACTTTTAAATACTGAGACCACTCTTTGTTAATTGCTTGTAATGCTTTTTTTGTTTCTCTTTATTTACTAGCTTTTATATTTTGAAGCTATATTATTTTATATAGCCTATTTAAAATTCTTAACATGTAATTGGTTTAATTAAATGTTTTTTATTTTTTAAAGTATGTGTTTTTACACAAGTAATTAAATACATATTTTAAGAGTTATTAAGATTAATTAATTAGATCGGATCATGAGCTATCTAAAGATTCCCATCTCTACTGTACAATGATTTATTGCTTGTCTTTGTCGACTAATACAGAAGGTAAAGAACTTTTTTTTAAATCGCAATCGCATAATGGTTAAAAAAAAATCGCAATTAAAAAAAAGATTTATTTTTCAAAATCGTTCAGCCCTAGTAGAAAAATGTTATTATAGAGCCCATGAAAGCCAAAATGAGCCAATTGAGAAAGAAAGTTTGCATGTGCCTTCTGTGAGCACTGTCTCTCCAACCAAATGCCAAAAGTATTTTTTTCCAAAAGGAAGTCTACTGTTTTCATGACCATTGTCTTTTCACACAAAATGACTTGATTATCAGAAAACTGATAACTGACCAAGCCCAACTCACTGCATGTTGCAGTGGCATTGTAGATGTCATGCATTTTCATACCTGTAGGTCATTTTCTGTGTTCTGAAGCACGGATTTAATTTTTTACTCGTTCGGTTTGCTTTCACAAGGCAACATTTCAAAGCGTACCAAAATGTGTTTATGCAAGCCACATGTATAAACGATCCTCTTATTGGTCAGAGTTCAACCAAAGAGTATAGAAGAACAAGAAAGCAAAACTCTGATGCTTTTTTGGTAAAAGCCACTAGGTGGCGCTTCAGGAGCGGGGCCGCCATTTTGGGGTAAAAAAAATTCCAACTGGAGTTACTGGACAACAGCATAGATAACAGTTTTTTGAGGTAGTTTTTTCTTCTAATTTTTCCCAAGCGGCAAAATTCTAATCTGAAAAATGAAGCCTACCCGGAAGTGGGAAAAACTGCAATACATCGAAAATCCGCTAGAGGCCGGTCCCAAAAGGGGGTGAATATCCATAGACCTCACATTAAAATGTCCGTTTTCACAGCATCAATTCATATGTTTACAGTTTGACTTTTATTGTATTTTTCGATAGGTTCCGAGTGCCTGACAACTGTGAGGTGAGTGAATTTTTTTCTAACTCGTTAGTTTAGATCGTATTTAGATATAAAATGTATGAAAAATAAGGGCGGTTAACTTTGATTGACAGCTGATAACGGGCCGCGCCGAGTGGAATTGGACGTCTTGGCCATGATCTGACACGACGCATCTCTGTATCCTTTCTGAAACATTTGTATTTCTGAACATTTGTATTTTGTATTTCTCAAGATTTTCTAATATGGTGCCGCCCATACCCCCCATAAACCTGTTCTTCAGAAAGTCTATGAGTGACGTCACAGACGCTTTGTCCATATTTTTTACAGTCTATGGTATTTCCGTTGTATGCAACTTTACACATTTACTACTTATATTAGTTACCAACTCCATTAGGCCTGAAATATATTTTGTACGTTTTAATCCCCTGGATCATGCTACAAACATGATGATCATTGATGCGCTGTGTCCGTTATCCTATAACTTTAATTGCCACTTTGAACAGTGGCTGTGTTTTTTTTTGTTTACATAGTTTTGTTTTAACGGTCATTAATATAAGAAAATACTGCAAAATACTTGTGTTGCAATGGAGCGTTTACTTCTTGTCAATATACGTTCTTTGGTTCAACCGTTTTCATTCCTCAAGATGGACAGAGATAATCGCTCCGCTGGCTTTGTTTATTCGAATGTAGCCTTGATTCCTGCTCTGACTGATAAATTAAATATTAAAAAATATATTACATTTATGAAGCAAGTTAGGCTTCGTCAAGACAGCATTCTTGCAACACGGAATCCTGCACACGTTTCTCTTATGAACTGTCTGAGAGTCATTCTTTGGTAACACTTTACTTGAAGGGGTATGCATAAGACTAACATGATGTATTATGAATATGAAGGAAGGTTTATGCATGTTTGTGACAACTGTCATTAAGTGTCTTTTGCTCAGTTATGAAAGTTTTAATGCAAATATGACATTGTTTGAGATGTCTTTGTTATGACACCTTGACATTACCAAGCAGGGATGGAAATCAACTCTTTTGTCCACCGGCGGCCACTGTGGATTTCAAAATCGACCAGCCACTCGACGTTTTTACTAGCCACTTTCTTGTTTTTAACCGACAATGTGTAACTGGTAACACTTTACAATAAGGTTCATTAGTTAATGTATTTACTAACATGCACTAACCATGAGCAATACATTTGTTACTGCATTTGTTCATCTTTGTTAATGTTAGTTCATGAAAACACAGCTGTTCATTGTTAGTTCATGTTAGTTAACGGTGAATTAACTAATGTTAACAAGATTTTAATCAAGTATTAGTAAATGTTGAAAATAACATTAACAAAGATTAACAAATGCTGTATATGTGCTATTCATTATTAGTTCATATTAACTAATGTAGTTAACTAATGTTAACTAACGAAACTTATTGTAAAGTGTTACCGTGTAACTGCATGTGAAAGTTAATGTGTATCTACATGTGAGTTAATGTGTAACTGCATGTGAGAGTTAATGTGTAACTGCATGTGAGAGTTAATGTGTAACTGCATGTGAGAGTTAATGTGTAACTGCATGTGAAAGTTAATGAGTAACTGCATGTGAAAGTTATTTAGTAACTGCTGTGGAAGTCGATGTGTAACTGCAGTGAAAGTCTATGTGTAACTACAGGTGAAAGTCGGTGAGTAAAGTGCATGTTACTGTGATGAGTATCTGCAGATGAAGTTTATGAGTAGCTGCAAGTGGAAGTTAATGTGTAACTGCTGGTGAAAGTTATTGAGTAAATGCTTGCGAAAGTCATATGTGTAACTGCGTGTGATAATTAATGTGTAACTGCAGGTGAAAGTACGAGTAACTTGAGGTGAAAGTATGAGTAACTTGCAAGCGAAGTTAACGTGTAACTGCAGTGAAATGGTGAGTAGCTGTACGTGAAGTTAATGAGTAACTTGCAAGCGAAGTTAATGAGTAGCTGCATGCGAAAGGCAACGAGTAACTGCAGTGAAAGTTAATGTGTAACTGCATGCGAAAGCTAATGTGTAACTGCAGTGAAAATCGATATGTAACTGCATCGGAAAATGTCCAGTAGCTGCATGCGAACGGTAACGAGTAGCTGCATGTGAAAGATATGAGTACTTGCATGTGAAAGACGAGTAGCAAGCATGTGAAAGGTAATGAGTAACTGCAAGCGAAGTTAACCGGTAACTGCATGTGAAAGTCTATGTGTAACTGCAGAGAAAGTTTATGTGGAACTGCATCTGAAAGTTGATGAGTAATTTGTAAGCGAAGTTTATGAGTAGCTGCATGTGAAATGATAAGTAACTGCACTGAAGTTAATGAGTAACTTGCAAGCGAAGTTAATGAGTAACGGGCATGCGAAAGGCGACGAGTAACTGCTTGTGAAAGTTGATGTGTAACTGCATGTGAAAGCTAATGTGTAACTGCAGTGAAAATCGATATGTAACTGCGTGAGAAAGTTGTTGAGTAATTGCAAGCGAAAGTTTATCGAGAGTAGCTTCATGTGAAAAGTTAACGAGTACCTGCCTGTGAAAAATGATGAGTACCTGCATGTGAAATGACGAGTAAACAGCATGCGAACGAT